TTATGATGTAATCATCAGCTCCAATAGACAAAATCAGAAAAAAGCTAGCACTAATTCTACCATACGTGTTGTCTTAAGAATAAAATTACGCAATCTCACATCATCGCAGTTGTTAAAACTTTGATACCAAGTTGTAGATAATTGAATGAAGTATTTGTGGAAAAAGTTTGAACATCCTAGCTCTACTAATAAAAATTTTACAAGGGGGGTGCCCTTTTGACCCCCCCTTAGGTGTTCGTGTGACTATTTTTACCTTAGGGCTTCTAGGGTTAAAATCTTTATTTCAACCTCAACACAAAATTGACGGATTTAGAAAGTTTTTGATAATTTCTTTCCAAGTTTGCAACTAAAACTAAATTTAAACATAATCGCATCTTTGAGTAACTAATACATTATTGGTAAAAAAATAACCAGGTCTCCCTAGAATGCATCGCCTGAAATCAGTTACGCCTAACATTTTTTCAAGATCCACGTACACGCATGATGACAAGGTCTTTGATCAGCTGGCTCAGGAATTCAAAATATCGTTTGAAATTCACTCCACATTATCACAGGCCAGTATCGAAAAATTTGTCCGCTGTGACGGAGCGTGCTATTTTGCATAGAAACATTAAGCAACCCACACGATTCACTTTTTACTCATAGGTTTCGCTATACCTAAGAAAATTACTTACTCCATGCAATGGATATATCATTTGCGGGTAACATCAACTTCTGTTTGAAGTCCAACAACGCTAGGTGTAAAAGCTATTGAAAACGGCGCCGGAGTATCAAACTCCAATACGTACCATTTCTTTTATTTATTTTTAATGGTACAATATAATGACACGTTGGAAAATTCAAAATGGCCACTTAAACATTTACCCAGACTGCCTAAAAACTAATTAGTTCTAGACTTTCCATAGAAACATCTCTAAAATTTTAGGATGAATCCATGAAACCTGTAAACAACCCCCAACAGACACGTTTTAAGGTATTACTTCACAGTGTATCAGCTTTTTTCTACAATTCAGATTTTCCTGAAAAAAATCCTGGTAAAAGATATACTGATGTACTACAAAATATGTGAAAATTGGAAAGATTGACCATTTGGTTATTTCTAAAAAAATGTTTTAATTTAACATTGATCTCAATAACATTTACCCAGAATGCCGAAAAACTAATCAGTTCTAAACTTTTATAGGTAAAAACACCCCTGAGAATTTCAAATGAATCCCTCAAACGGTTTGGCTGGAAACCTGAAGACAAGATTATTCGGGACGCCCGCCCAACCGACCGCCCGCCCGCCAGGCAAACTGATTACAATATAGCACCTGAGGGTGCGATAAAAACTGCATGATTTTGAAAGATAACCCATCGACTACCCCCCCCCCCCCCCCTGGGTACGGGCCTGACAATTTAAATAAGATATTTCTTACCTCAAACAGGCACACATTCCTTTATTAATTAATAAAAAACAAACTAAAATAATGATGAGCAAAGCGACGGAGTAAGCAATGCCATTGACATATTCTAAGCCATATGCATTTATCTAGTACCCTTTGAAAATATGATCAAAAAGGAAAGCATGATAATGCTCATTTCGAGGCTCTCATGTTTAAGACATGAAATCATACCCTTCTCTTGAAAGCCCGTAATTACGACCACAAACCAAATATTTCCAACAAGCTGAAGTGTCGTCTGTAAACAGAACATAGGCTAGAAATGGGCCCATAATCACAAACTATGGTAACAATTTTTTTGTAACGATAATTTATTTCTTCATTACTAATTGTAATAAAATAAATGGTACGTACGATAACGAGGAAAATCAAATAAGGCAATTTCTTTGAAGTCTCAAAATTTGCTTTCGAAAAACAAATCTGTTTTTAGTGTCACACAACGACTGATCATATGAAGTATGAACCCATTCTAATATATATACGTCAGTGGATGGACATTCCCCATCGCTTTTAACAGTTGAGCGATGATATCATTTCTTCATGAGAATTCATCTAACAAATTTAACAGATTAAATTTGACAGGGAAAATTGAATAATTGAAGGCAGTATGCATAAGGTCATCTTTCATAATAAAACCAATCAAGAACATTAATGTACTAGTATAGTATTTCTTGAACTTGTCTCTCTCGCCCTCGAACATCTCCCACACTTATTTATTCAATTTCCATGTCTTTCAATTTATAATAGGGTACAACTTGAACCATCAATGTTTACTTTGTCAACTCTTATTTCTGTAAATGGCAAAGCTTAACTGAAAAAATTGAGAAAATTGAAGATTTTCATTTAGCCTATTTACTGAACAACTGAGTTTTAATATCCGGTGACATGACTGATTGTGAATGTTATACAGTCTCTAGTTGAGATACAATAATTAGTCAATATTAGCACAAATGTATGTTCTATATATGTACCAAATATCAAGAAACAATTCCTCAAAATGACAAAGTTAGAGATAAATAAACAGAACTTTTTGACTGACCTAAGTACAATACAAAGTCTGGGTAAAGTGTAAAGTAGAAACCCTGTATATCGTATAAATTTGGGGTGGTTGATGTTCTAAATGACGAGTTGACCCCGTTTACTTCAACTGAAAGTACTACCATCAGATTATGTTGAAAAACATTATAAATGCTTTTGATATAAAAATCGAAAATGTCAAAATCCATGTACACCTTCTAAGCAGCAGCCATATGGGAATGTTTTTTTTTCAAAAGAATATGTAATACAGTAATTTAATAGTGATATCTAAATATGGAAAATCAAGGAATACTTGGTGAATACTAGTATTCTTTCAACGACGCCCATATGATAGTATTTATAAAAACCTCCGAAAAAGGACATATTCCTTCAACGAGTCCTTTGGCATAGTATTTATATCAACCCTCTGAAAAGAACATATTTCACCAACGAGGCCCAAAGAATAGTATTTAACATTAACAAGTGTCCATTTGCTATATAGTCAATAAATAGATGGCAGCATATGAATTGGTAGAGCTAGATACCACAATGCAAATCCCTTGGAATCTGTTATAAAAGAGACTTCAGCGAGATTTCAAAACTATAAAGTAAATGCTTAATCATGTACTTGGAGAGCCAATTATCAACCGTAAGAAGGGCAAAATTGATGAAACGTTAACTCTTAGATCAAAGAATTAGGCAAAGGTCATCTTTAAAGCAGAATCCAACAATTTGAAAGAATTTAAAATATTCCCATATGGCCCCTTTTAAATTGACTTAGAAAATAATATGACTAAGTTCACATATTTACAGATAATTTAAATCATATTTATATCATTATTTAAATCATATAACTGCATAACATCACATAAATAATACAAATATTTTTACAACATAACAATCTCCTATAAATTACAAGATGTAAAAAGGTATAAGCTATAAGAATTGTACACAACTGAAATTTATGAAACTCAGTCCACACAATATGATCAAGATACATGTACATTGCAAGGTACCATTTTACAGTATGATCTCAAGGAAGATTGGCTACCAGGGTTGCAGACTGTCTCATCCATTTGGAACAGCAGGTGGGCAGTTTTTCCATTGAACATGGAAGTCTATGGCAGATTGAAACAAGGCATTAACATGACAAAATGTCACCACCTAGTTAAGTTGCTCATAATATTATAAGTTCAATCTAAAGTCAGATTATAACTTCTGAGAATTTGTAGATGATTTAGAAAAGAATTGGTAAATTTGAGGAGGTCAAATGTTTTTTTTACCTTGAGATTGTCAATGAAGGTCAAATCTATAGTAAAATTTGAACTTTTGAGGACTTCTAGATGATTTTGAAAAAAAATTGGTCAATTTGAAGCAAGTTGAAAACAGACCTTTTTGACCTTGAGAAGGTCAATGAAGGTCAAATCTCAAATCTAAAGTCCAATTTGAATTTCTGATAACTTGTAGATAAGTTTGAAAAAACTGAAGTCAGTCTAAACAATATTTGTTATTCGATGTATGAATAAATTGAATAATAAATAAGAATACAAAAACTATCTGAATAACCAAAAATGAAGCTGTCTTTGCCTTTCAAGGGGAGTCCGCATATGAAGTAAATGCCACTGATTGGTAAGGCTAAATCACACAGGCCTGTAGCCAGGATTTGCCAAGGGAGTTTACTTTTTCAAAAATTCCAGGGGGGTTCACTTTCGACAACTTTTGCCCGAAAATGACCAATATCACTTGAAAAGTGCTAAGAATGGTGAAAAATGGTATGATTTTGAAAGAATAATTTGCCATTGGGGTTCGCTCGAAATGATGACTTTTAACCAATGTATTTGCATTATAAACTGGCCGCTTTTAGTAGTTCCTTATATATCAATGGTGATTTCAAACCAATGCATATGCATCTTAATTGCCCCTTTTAGTTGTTCGGTGTTCAGTTATTTCTTTTTATATATTAATGGTGATTGCTATCTACATGTTGCATTTGTATCATTATTAAGGCCCACCCTTGCACAAGATTTAACAAGTCAAGCATTTTCTATATAATGCTATTTCATACATTTCAAAACAATCAGCCTACAATTATTGTAAATGTAGGCTTCAGCATTAAATATTTAAGATGGCAGCACTCAAAGGAGCATAGCTAATAATGAAAAATGTGAGGCAATTCTAAAAAGGAGGGGCAAATTTGACTAATAAAATGTGATATCACATTCTCAATTGAAAAAAATCCTGAAAAAATAATTTTCTGTAAAAGATTGGTGAGCTACTCGCCTCACCTGTTTCATAACCAGCTAAGTTCCTTAATGAATTTTGGTAAAATTTGTGAGATAATCATATTTTAATAAACTTGACCAGAGACACTTTTACAGGGTGTTCATAACACATCATTTACAATCTTTACACAGTGTTCCATTGGAGTTTGGACACTGGAATTTTTGAGTGTGGATAAATAAATATATACATGTGAGCTGAGCTAATGACTAGCACTAATCACTGGAACTATTCACTAGAGCTAATGACTAGTACTAATCACTGGCACTATTCACTAGACCTAATGACTAGTGCTAATCACTGGCACTATTCACTAGAGCTAATGACTAGCGCTAATCACTGGAACTATTCACTAGAGCTAATGACTAGTACTAATCACTGGCACTATTCACTAGACCTAATGACTAGTGCTAATCACTGGCACTATTCACAAGAGCTAATGACTGGACCCTGACACTATTTTCTGCCAAAGGGACTTGGCAGAACGAACCAGTCTCTGTGAAACATTGCAAGGTTGTAGACTAGATACGAAGGTGCCCAACTGTTTGGCATAATCTGTAAGAACAATTAAGGAAAATTACATAGGCTACATGGATGATTTTATAGAGGAATTTGTGATTGTATGATTGATGAATGTTCTAATAACAATGAATAGACAAGGCATTAACTTGACTAAATGTCACCACCTTGTAAGTTATTGCAAATTGTTAGAAACCAAATGCAAATTGTTACAGACGACAAAAGCCAAACTCCGAACACATTCCACAAAAATGTTGGAGACAATAGCAATATGTCACCACTTCGGGTGGTAACATAACAACGAATTAATAGATTTATTATACCACCTTTGGGTTTGGGTTGGTGTCTGAAGCCCTTCCTTGGCAGTGACATAATTTCTAACAATTCATAAAATAAATTCTGTTGATTTTTAAAAGGATATAACAAAGTCCAAGGAGGTGTCCCGCCATTTATATACAGCACATATGAATAACCGTCCCGCGGGGATCCATTTATTGAGTAGTAATACGGCAGATAGCTATGGACTTTGAAGTAGCGCCTCTCATAGAAACCTATAGCTACAGAGTTCGTAGTTAGCACATGAAGGTAGACAGCTTTGACATTGGGCATTTCAGAGGAACTCAGGTATGATAGTAAAGTATCTAAAAGTAAAGAGGCTGAAACAAAGATTGAAAATTAAATTTGGTTACTGAAGTTTTCTAGTTACATAAAGAAGGTCCTTTCTTATTTCTTGTAATTGCTATTTTAAATGAAATTGTTTTTTGGTCCAGTAACCTAAGTTCCATTGAATCTATTTTTTACTTTATATTTAGGTGCTTAATTTTTTAGTTCTGCGATAGTATGAGATGATGTGACAGTGACATCAAAAATAATTTGATTCATCTGAAAACATAGGATCAAATCCTATGCTTAAGGCTGATGTGAAAAAATCACTCTACCCTGGTGGGAATCAAAACCCACATTCTTCCGATTACATGCTCTAACACTTGAGGTATGGAGCGAACAGACTAAATGATTTTATGTATGAATGAAATACTTTGTTTTCCTCACCTATTCCATGTCGTCTGAAATCATTAAGGACACCCAGACTAAGGATGTAAGCTACCTGAGTTGAGGCAATGAAATGGTTGGCCAAAATGTCCATATCCTGAAACAAATGTTGGAGAATACAGGGTGGTCAAAAAATATACACAATTTTGACACTTTAAAACTGTTTCAACATAAACAATCTTAATTTTATTGTATACAGTATTGTGAAAGTTATGAGGTGACAAAAACGTAGATTTTTTTAAACCAACCAGTGAACTGTACGAGTACATACACACTTAACTTAGAAAACATTACAATCAAAAAAATTACTGAGTCATTAGTTTATTTTTTAACTTAAATGAATTTCTCCATTGATAAATAAATACAGGTAAATTCAAGTCATTTTTACCATTTATCATGATTTGGCTAATGCCATTCTATTAGACATGATCAAGCCAACTGAAGTAATTCATAAATTCAAGCAATGACCCATATTACTACACACACACACCCATATTACTACACACATACCCATATTACTACACACATACCCATATTACTACACACATACCCATATTACTACACACATACCCATATTACTACACACATACCCATATTACTACACACATACCCATATTACTAAAAACATACCTCTCTATTGCACTTTATGCGTGGCTTCACCTCACAGATAATCATGCCAACAATTTGAGTGTTATAAGTTGCAGCAAGGGAATAGAACTTTGGGTTTGATGTGATGTCTTGGTACCATTGCTCTGGGTACCTAAAAATTACAGTTTGCAGTTTAATTAATTGCAGTTTAATTAATTGCAGTTTAATTAATTGTAGTTTACAGTTTAATTAACCACATCAGAATGATGAAGCTAATGCAAAATTATTTAGGATGTAGACATTTTGTGGCCCACCCTGTATATACATGCACTGTATTTCATGGAGGAATGCGAACATATGTGTTACCCCTCAAATAATGAAAGATCATAGGAAAAATACAAATTGACAAGTTATTTTAATTTTATCATATTGCAAATGTTTACTTTTTGTTAAAGAGGCACTATACGTACCACGGAAGCACAATCAAGACCCCCCCATGTACTGGAGAAACTTATGGCATAATGCAGCTTTAAACTTACTCTATAGGGAACCATTCATGGCACAATTGTTTGACAACATCAATGTCCTGTGGTGTGAGGAATCGCAGTTGGACCTCATGCTGTAGGCTGAATGACACTGTACTTTGGTCTGATCCGTAGGACCCCATGCTTCAATTTGATTTCATGAGAGACATTACTGTTTGTGAAAATTATGCTCATCACAGTTTTTTCGGCAACATCTTTACACTGTTCATTTGATATCATATCATCTAGCTACATTCTGCTTAGTATTTCATCTGATGGATTATTTTGTGCACCATAAGTGGATGTACTCCGATAGCTGACCTGGACTTAAAATCAATTCCTCTGTGACGCTGATCGTTATACCTTGAAACAAACAAAATCGTAAACATTAATATTATTATATATCAATGACATTAACGCCTTTTGCCTGCTCCACCGGTCAATGATTTATCTTTCAATGCAAAAAATGAGAGGAATTATTTTCACCTAGGAAATGCTTAAGATTACGACTGAAGTCAAATATTGATCTATTTTCTTGTATCTGTTTTCAATGGACCATTTCGTAACTACAAGTACAGTGTGACACACATTTTTTCTTATCTTGAGACCATTAGTATATAGGGGGTAAACACTGGACAATGAAAGGGAATTTGGATTGTGATTGGAATATTCTTGGTGATTTGGTGACCTTAGTCCTCCCAACATTTTTCATATTGGACTACCTTTTTTGTTTTATCTGTGCAGACCCCTGCCACTCGTATTTTCCACTGAAGATACTGTACTAGGTACACAGGTGATATGCCATATCCCTAACAAAGTATGCCCGTTGCAACTAGGCTCCCAGTGACCCTGGCTCTTCTTGGTTCATTTTTTTATTATATAGCCAATAAATTGTAGCAACTATAGGAGTTGGTTGTATTGACCTCAGGAGTCTGGCATTGAGCTGTAAACTTCCTAGCATCATTTATACTGTTCTTTTACAACAAGCATGGAGTAAAAGGACACTCCAAACATGTAGTAAAATAACACTAAAAACGATACAAATCATATGTAAATAATTCTCTGAGGAGTCTGGTTACAGTTTACAAAGACCCTTTCCCTACCCACAGGGGCTTGTCTCGAGGGTCGGGCAAGCCCTCCGATGAGTGTGTACTGCTTATTAAGAGTATAAGGGAGGTCGTTTTTGATGCTTCCTGAAATTTGTAGAAAATGATATTCGTTAAAAATAATATACCGGAAAGAACCTAAGAAAACAAAGAACTCTAGGAACTACCAATTTTTAACAGTGAACGTGTCTTGAAGAAGAAATCGACTCTGGAGCTAATAATTTGGATGCAAAAATTGTGGGTATTTGCATTTTAATCACTTCTTTACATATTCTTCAGATTTCTCAGCAACTAGTGGATGGATTGCAACCATTTTGGGTAAATTTGCTCTGTAGTGTTGTTTGAATCAGCATGTCGATTATTGAAAGGATTCCTTATGTTTTTACTGGATATCTAACAATCATTCTCTACAAATTTCAGGAAGCATCAAAAACGACCTCCCTTATACTCTTAATAAGCAGTACACACTCATCGGAGGGCTTGCCCGACCCTCCAGACAAGCCCCTGTGTCCCTACCATAGCCCGTTTTTCAAAAAAATCAAAAAAAATAAAAACAAACGGCAAATTCATTAAAGAATCCAGATATAGCTAGTATTATGAGACCTAGGTACGAAAAATTTAAAACAAAGATCAAGATACATAAAAGAATCAATACTAACCCCAATTTGGACGAATGCATGCGTTCAATTCACCAAAATTGACGAAAAAGTAGCAACGCAATTCGGAAATATTTTTGGATATTTCTCACTTCCGGTACAATGTTTCAGAATGACTGCGCGCATAGTATCACGAAATATTGGCTGAGTTTTTAAATGCTCGCGGCGCAAGTCTGTTGCGTAATATTTATATGAGATATCTCCCTAGGTATCACGAAAAAAGATCAATAGGCCATGTGGAGCAATGCATCAAGTGCAAATTTTGGAGAGCAACACCTAAAAGTAATGGTCATTCCACATTGCAGTGCTTGAATCCTGAAACCAAACTGTGGTTTAGTTAAAATAATGCTGGTATGATATGTATATTGCGATACTTTTTAACAGTAAAAACAATCAAATTCTAAGTTGAGCGAGGTGTGAGGATATAAAAATGACCGCACAAAAAACGTACTATATTTAACATGTCTAATACTAAATTGGAACGGTGGAAGTCAGGGGGACAATTTGTGTACAGTCTCAAGAACAACCTAGACATGTGCAAGTACCCTAAAAACACAGATGATATGAAACACATTCTGCTAGCTGAATTAGAATATACTATCTAGAATCAGCAAGGTCGATACACTTACAAGATAGAACCATTGCATAAAATTTGTCGATTTTCACGAGATCGTGCCATGGATTATACGGATTAATAGCGGTTTTTACTTACAGTGTCTAGTATCATTCTTCACAGTTTTTGGTCCTTTCCCTTTGGCACTTGTTCTTAGATATTTACATAGGTTTCTTCATATTTTTCTCAACCTATGAAGACAGTCAGGTTTTTGTCTATTTTTCTTCATCTCCCCAAAAAACGCATCTCTCAAGTGAAAGGATGAGCTGGATATATGCCCTTTTGGTCCCTCAGTTAAATGTATGTGAAATATGTTTTTTTTTATAAATGGCCCTATAGTCATACTTGATAAGTATATTATTAATTTTTCATGAGTTTTGATGCATAATTAACCCTATGCTGAGAGTCAGAATAAGTATCCGATCAAGAAAATATCATTATCATAGAAAAACACCAATGGCAACATGTATGACATACAAACTGACAAAGAAATAACTTAAGACGCCTGAAGAATTAATAAGAAAATCATATTTTCAAATGTATTAAAGGATTTTTTTTCAAATTTTTGAATTTCTCGCCAGTTTAATTTGAAGGGGGAAAACAAGATTGCTGCCATTTTATGTAAGAAATATCAAATATGAAATAAGGTTGCTTCGCTTTTAATTTTCACAATGAGCAGTTCTCCGGTTTAGGTTTTTTGATTGATTCCGACTCTTTATCACCAGGGTCATGTATAGAGATTATAAAATTGAAACCAAAATGTTGTGCTAAGCATGAATTTGACTGAAATATTTGTAACTTTACCAAAACAATTGAAGTCTCAAAATTGGATGCTCAGTAACTTTGAGTGACTATAATCCCTTGATTAACCAGATAAACACCAATTCACTTATCCAGAAATACCACTCAATGTCTATACAAAGAAAGTAAGCAATGTTTTGGAGGATATGTTTCAAACTTTTTAAGTGCATAAATTATTCATTTAATCATATACATTGTCTTTGATGCCAATATCCTTCATCAATTGTGAAACAAATTGATCTTTTTGTAATCTCAGAATAAGGATAAGATATTGAAGTTTAATAATATGTGTGATTGAGTTAGTTTTTCAGACATTACAATTTTTAACATTTCCTAAGTTGATGCCCAGACTCATCCTTTGGACAGTGTACACTGTGTATAACATGTACAATCCAAACGCTTCTGTAATCACCCCGGATTGTTTCTTTACTTTACTCTAAACAAGGAAATGCTCAAGAATAAGAAAAAAAATAGCTGGTGGAAATGTTCACACGTACAACGATTTCGATAATAATGTGAATAATAGCACTGTATGTTATTTGTTTCGTGTACACCATTCGATGGGTGTGATATTCATGAAAAAGACCGTCACGTACTGTATGTACTAATGGAAACAAATTTTACTCAAGACCTACATGTATTCGCCAGTACACGCAGTTTGACGTCCGGTTTTCCGTTTATATGTAAAAAGGCCTTGAATCGCTCACGCCCAAACCCTCATTCAGACTAGAGTCCCGGGACAAAAATACTAGATCGACAAAAAGATGACAGACAGACCACGTGTGTTCATCTTCGAGGATCTTTAAGTCAACTTACATGTAGCCCCTATGCAAAAATACAAATAACAGTTAAATTATATAGCTTTCTAAAAATGAGAAAGTCACCAATAGTTCACTGACAACAATAACATAAACTGTATTTAATGTAAATATATTCTTTGTTTAGATTTTATGTTTGGTTTTTTTAAACACATGCTTGTACAACAATCAACATGAAAAGTAGTAATTATGTTGACAATGTCATGCAAAATCATAAGATTTCAAAAGGATGAAAGTCTTGTAAACTCATTTTGAAATATCCTTATTTGTCAGTTATCATGGTTGCTCCAGTCACTTGGCTGCCACTGGCATAAAGGTTGCTTCAGATTGATTGTCCCCCACTTCAATGAAGGTTGTCCCCACTACAATGAAGGTTGCCCCACTACAAGGTTTTCCCCACTACAATAAAGGTAGTCTCCACTTCAATGAAGGTTGGCCCCACTTCAATGAAGGCTTTCTCCACTTCAATGAAGGTTGTCCCCACTACAATGTAGGTTGCCCCACTACAAGGTTTTCCCCACTACAATTAAGGTTGTCCCCACTTCAATGAAGGTTGTCCCTACTACAATGAAGGTTGTCCCCACTACAATAAAGGTTGTCCCCACTTCATTGAAGGTTGTCCCCAGTACAATGAAGGTTGTCCCAACAACAATTAAGGTTGTCCCTACTGCAATGAAGGTTGTCCCCAATTCAATGAAGGTTGTTTCCACTACATTATATTGATGGTTGATCCCACGACAATGAAGGTTGCCCAACTTCAATGAAGGTTGCCCCCACGTCAATGAAGGTTGTTCCCACTTCAATGAATGTTGTCCCCACTACAATACAATGAAGCTTATCCCCACTTCAATGAAGGTTGTCTCCATTATTATGAAGGTTGTCCCCACTTCAATGAAGGTTGTCCCAACTTCACTGAAGGTTGCCCCCATGTCAATGAAGGTTGTCCCCACTTCAATGAAGGTTGTCCCCACTACCATGAAGGTTGTCCCCACTACAATGAAGGTTGTCCCCACTACAATGAAGGTTGTCCCCACTACAATACAATGAAGCTTATCCCCACTTCAATGAATGTTGTCCCCACTACAGTGAAGGTTGTCCCCACTACCATGAAGGTTGTCCCCACTTCAATGAAGGTTGTCCCCACTACAATGAAGGTTGTCTTCATTATTATGAAGGTTGTCCCCACTTCAATGAAGGTTGTCCCCACTTCAATGAAGGTTGTCCCAACTTCACTGAAGGTTGCCCCCATGTCAATGAAGATTGTCTCCACTTCAATGAAGGTTGTCCCCACTACCATGAAGGTTGTCCCCACTACAATGAAGGTTGTCCTTAATTATTATTATGAAGGTTGCTCCAGATTATTTGGCCCTTTACCACTTTAAAAGTTGTTTCAATAAAACTCGACTAACATAATCGCGCAGTACTAACTTTGACCGTTAATTTGAATTTTTGACCTACCAGATGCTCGAAAATCAAACTGCACCGTTTTTTTTCAAACTTATACCATTAAAAAAAAAAAAAAAAAAAATTGCCTTTCTGTCAGTGCATTATTTTATTGTAAAGAGTCCCTCGTTCTAGCAGCGTTTTGGTCCTCAGCTGTGAGAAGGCCTTCTTACAGCTTAAGGGACAAAAATGCCGCTGGAAGTAGGGACTCTGTTTAAGAGTAGAATGTACAAATAGAAAGGGATTTTTGTTATGCTTTGAATGGAACAAGTTTGAAGAAAAACAGTGCAGTATGAGACTAGTAATCCTTGATTTTCAAACATCTGGTAGGTCAAAAATTCAAATTAACGGTCGAAGTTAGTACCGCGTGATAATAATTGGTCGAGATTATTTGGACATACAGGGGACATACCCACGAATATAAACTTGCTCCAAACAATTAGTCCTCATTTCCACAATGTATTTATGTATGTATGACGAACAAACTATTTCCTCCTCTTGCGTACTATTTCCCCCCACTCCCATACAGGTTGTTCCAATCTATATAAGAGTCCAAATCTTGCTGAGACACACTGGCTTTCACATGATTCAAGGCATCTTGGAAGTCTTTGTATGATATGGGCCGGACCTGAAATATAACAAGAAATGGTAATCATTTGGCAAAGAATCAATTAAGTGAGTTGATTAAAAATCAAATATCAAAATTATAAAATTCATAAATGCTCTATATTTGTATTTGAATTAACATTAGTCAATTTCAGTTTTAGAATATTTTGGGCTCATACATCTGTATCCTTCCTTGTCAGGTGAGGAAAACTTAAGATTTTTACTTAAGATTTTTACCATAATGCATTCATTTTTCTTTAAACATGGTGACCCTTTTTATTATTTTAGAGAATTTAAACATTTTTATCCATTTGGCACTTTGAATCCTCAATTACATCACCAATTTATGACATAGCGTGGATATTTTGGGAGATATTACTTTCGAGATTGCAATGAATATAATTGGTAAAGTCAACTGTACCTGTTGCTTGCAATTTTGTCACTCGCTATGTATGGATCTGATTCTGTATTTGCAATTCAAAATAGGACCATTATGTAAAGTTAATTATGTGGAGCTACATGTACCTGGTCTGTCGTAATGTGTTCTATGTTCTCCATTGAGATGCTACGTATTGGGCCCAGAGCTGCCTCTCGGCACAAGTTAGCCATGTCTGCCCCGGAATACCCTATAACATGTGATAAAACTTTCAGAAAAACTGCTGAAAGTGCAAGTGTATAAGGCACAGGACTATCGCCAGAATTTTCCAAGGGGGGGTTCACTTTTCCAAAAAAATCTAGGGGGGGTTCACTTTGGCAAGTTTGGCCAAAAATAGTCAGATTGGTGAAAAACTGCATGATTTTGAAAGAAATTTGGCCGGGGAGGGGGGGCTACGGGCCTGAGGCATATTGCAATGCCATTCTATTACACATAATGCATAGCACTTATGTGTATTTATTCTCTATTGCCTATTTTCAATATTTTAATTACCAATAACCATTAAAGAAGGTAATATTTTTTAAAATATTTATACATGATATTTACATATCAAGTAAACATGATTAACAACATGTTGTAAAGACATTTGTGAGATATATTTGAAAAAGTCAAAATACCTGCGGATTTTGTACATATAACGTCTAGTTGGTCATCTAGGAGTTCATATGCACCTTGCTTGGACAGCAAGTTAACCACAATTTGTTTCCTGGCCTCAACTTCAGGTAGGGGGATATAGAGACGTTTAACAAATCTTCGCCTCGCAGCCTCATCTATTTCTCTTGGCCTAAATTAGATTAACTTAACTAATTAAACAACAGCCTAAAATACAGGGTGAAAATGTCCATATATTTTTATTTTTTGATAATGCATGGATTACAATAATATTTTTTCAAGAGATACAATAATCAACATTTATACAATCGATATGTTTCTCAAAACCTGAGGAGATACACATATTTCCCTTGAATTCATATATTTTCCTCTGGATGTACCCTGTATCTAGCCCTGCGTAAACAACCCATTTATACTTGAAGTCTCACCTGTTTGTTGCTCCGATGACAAGTATCCTGTCCTCAGAGCCTGTGGCTGCCCCATCCTTAAATATAAGAACAAGTGAGGGATTGCAAAAGCTCATCATGTGATCTAAAATGATAGCACATCAATACTGAAACATTTGATACAGTTTTGGTCTTACATTTCTAATTTAGATTGTGGAGAATAAATCAAAGCAGTAACATCATAATATCATTAGAAACTGAAATCTTAACAGGGCATTAACATGTGAAATGTCACCACCTCCCATTTGTTACAGACGCCAAATGCCAGATGCCAGATGCCGAATGCCCTCACAAAAAAAGTTTGAGACCATAACAATATGTCACCACTTTTGGTGGTGAAATAACAAAATGACTTTAAATTCATGATTGTGCCTATCAAGGGCCTTTTATTATAAATGGTGAATGAATAACTACTGCTAACAAAGAGACTTCAAAAGGATTTCAAATGCTAACAAAACAACTTACAAGCTGTACAAGAAACTCAGTTTTGATTCTCCTAGAAGCTTCGTGTTCACCATCTGATCTCTGGCTTAACAGTGAATCAATCTCATCAATGAATATTACAGCTGGTTGATGGCACCTTGCAACAGCAAACATGGCACGTACCATCTTTTCTCCCTCTCCAACCTGAGCAATGAAAATTACAAAATGGGTCTGATATTCTTAAAAATTGGTCCTCCTTTTTAAAAAATGGACTTAACTTTTCAGAAAGGTGCCCCAATTTTTCAGAAAGTGGGACCAAGGAATTTTCAAAAGAAAACTGCCCCCCCCCCATTTTCCAAATACATGTACACCTTACTGTGAGTTTCCACATATATATCTCTACTAAAGTACTACCTGTACAATGCATTTACTAAGTATTCTAGTATATAGCACTACTACTATCAGATCTTGTAAGATATGTGATTAAATAAGATACTAACCCATTTCGATGTGAGAGATGAGGCACTTATACTGAAGAATGTTGACTTGGACTGGCTTGCCACACATTTACCTGAAAAGCATTTTGCAAAATGTATTTCATATTGGAAATCATTGACATTCATGTGTCTTTCTTTCCGGGGGAAAAAGATCCAGACAAGAAACTAAATACTATCCTAATATTCTATTGTGTAGTGTGTTCAGAAAGGAACTGGCACATTTCTTACCCCATTTGTTAAATACCAATAACTTATAGAAGCGAAATAATGTACCATTTCTGTGTGATATAACCTAAGTTTATCAGTTTATTCCAAAATCCAAAACAATATTTTCCTAGCTTATAGTTTTGGCAATTTGACACTAGAAAGCATAAACAAAAGTGACATATCAATAAAAAGTTGCCTTGCTATGCTATAACTCAAAACCCCTTAAAACTCAGATGAACAGAAACAATAAAGTGAACAAGTCTTAATACTTATTGTGCACAAAAATTTGTTTCAATAAACTTTTTATAGAAATTGTTTATGGTATTGATTTTTCATGAAATGGGTCAAGATCATTGAACTTGAAGAGACCTTGCACTTGCCTTATATTTACCCTTAAATAAAATATACAATAACCAAATGTATTTATTTATAAAGAGATAAAAGAACACAGCACTATCTAAAAAAGGATTAAGTAATCTTAAGATGCTTATGTTATTTCAGTTTTTATTCTATTATTTATACACTACAGATCCTAAGCAAAAAATTACATGGCGTAAACATCCTAAGATTACTTGCAAGTGGTGATATAATAGAGCTGTTAAACAGTGCGCAGTTGTCCCTACTTAACTTACATACAACCTGATAATAATTGAACCTGCTTTGCTTTGCTTTTTCACATAAGATTGACTGCACTACCAGATAGAACAGATTTCATTTGGATTGCTCGATGTTTTAAAGAGCAAGACAAGTACATAAACCTATTTATTCACATTGCAACAACGATAAGGTAAGTCAATTAAGTTATTTTTCATTGCAACCTGTCTCTGACTATATAAAAAGGAAGGTTAAATTAAAAGAACCAATAGACAGTCCTATTCTAGAATCCAAATGCAATAGAGAGCAATTCGATATTAGTTTTCAGCCAAACTTACTCCAACTTTATCTTTAAGATGACGTAAACACCACAGGGAAGGAAGGTTTCTCAAAGAAACCAGGAAAGTACATTTCAATAGAAAAATTTTCCTAGTTTCCTTATCGAGAGGATTGATTTGTGAATATCCCAGCAATGGCGAAATTAATTTCTAAGTTGAAATCATATTTTGAAACCAGAACCCACCAACTACATAGTACATACTTGCTGAATATTTTGTTGTAATTCGAAGAATGAAAGCAGTCCCTACCTTTTTCCAGCATTGGAAAAGTATATGAAGCATCCACACTGAATCTTATTTCTGATAGCTTAAAACTTTACAAAACATTTGTTTAGTCCCAATTTCAATAGAATAGGATTGGGTTAAGCGCAATAAAACAAGTGACATTTGAGCTTATTTTACAAGAGCGATACTAAAAAAAGCAACTTCAAAAAGTAACAAATCCCACAAAATGAAACACAGCATCTCCTTTGGTAAAACTTCTGATGATGATGTGACAAAAAATCATAGGGCATCAGCACATCAAATCACATATTTGAGTTTTTACGAAATAGCCATGGTAAGGTGTTTTTTTCTAGAGCAAAGGTTCTTTATTCCTACATGATATGAACTTGAAAAATTTGGACCAACTCCAACAACTGCTATCAAGTTATCAATCTTACTTTTTCATGCATCATTTAGTTGTAGATACTGATGCAAAGTAGAAGCTGGTAGATGCCATTATTTTACATATGCACTTAAATATATATTCAATAAACACATTACAGGTTCACGTTCCTTGACTGCAGGTGACGACAGATACAAATAAAATGGCACTGACTCAGATTATACTAGAAGGCATTCTAAACAATCTGACCACACTATTGGTGTTTCTTGTGGTATTCATACTACTTTGGAAATATCTACAGCCAAGTCCCTATAACTTTCCACCAATGCCCAGCTGGAAAATACCTTTTCTGGGTCATTTGTCCTTCTTCAATTTGAAAACACATGGTGAAAAGGACTTCTGGCAAGCTGCCAAAAACCTGAAAAGTTCCACAATTGCAGTTAAACTTGGCCCAATGACCATTGTAATACTGCACAAGTAAGTGTTAATTTTCAAAAGATCATGCCTATTTCTTGCATTTTGGGACATGGTTTATGAAATAAATCATTTGAGGTGGGGGGTATGATTTCCTTCTCCTTTGGCACATGTGTTTACATACATGTTAAGTTTTTGTGTACTGTTTTAAAGTGCAAACTTAATCACACCAAATTCTGAACAAATTGTATTATTCATGAACTCAAAGTGTAAACTTGATTATACCAAATTCTGAACAAATTGGCATACATTTATCTATGTATTCAAAGTGCAAAGGTATTCACACCATATTCTTAATGAATTGACATAAAGTATGTTTGTATTCAAAAAACTTAATCACACCAAATTCTGAACAAAATAGCATACATTTATCTATGTATTCAAAGTGCAAAGGTAATCACACCATATTCTTAATGAATTGGCATAAAGTATGTTTGTATTCAAAATGGAAACTTAATCACACCAAATTCTGAACAAATTGGCATATATTTATCTATGTATTCAAAGTGCAAAGGTAATCACACAATATTCTGAATGAATTGGCATAAAGTATGTTTGTATTCAGAATCACACTAAATTCTGAATAATTTGACATATACAGTATGTATTTATGTATTCAAAGTGCAAACTTAATCACACCAAATCCTTAACAAATTGGCAGACATTCATTTATGTATGCAAAGTGCAAAATTAATCACACCATCATCATATTAAGAAGTAAAAAAGGTTTACTGAAAAAAGAATGAAAGTCTGTTCTAAGAGCTGAAGTCCACAGTAGTTGGGACCAAACCCTAATCCCTCTGTAATATTGCATTCCTATATTTCTCAAGGTATGAGGACATGAAGGAATGTTTCATGAGTGACAACTTCACGGGGAGGGGAAGGGTCATGTTGGAAGAGCTGGTGTTTAATGGATTGCTACGGGATGGACCTCGGTGGAAAGAACAGCGCAGATTTGCATTGTCCGCACTCAGAGATTTGGGACTTGGTAAAAATCGCATGGAGCAGAAAATCCAGGATGAATGCCTCTATTTAACAAAAACAATAGAAGAATACAATGGGAAACCTTTTGACCCAACAACCATAACAAACACAGCAACGTCCAATATCATATGCTCGATGGTTTTTGGTCACAGATTCGAATATTCTGATCAGTCATTCAAGCGACTGATGTTCTTAATGAATGAAAACTTCAACGATAATTTGAGAAAGGCCATGTTGAGTGAGATGATACCTGGAACAAAATACATACCAGGAGATTTTTTCCGTATGAAACGGCTCAAGAAGAATCTTGATGAGATCAAAGAGACATTTCTTCAGCCAGAGTTTGAGCAGCATTTGAAGACATATGATCCAAACAATATTGAAGATTTTATCCATGCATTCATTCATGAACAGAAGGCAAGGGAGGAAAGCACAGAACAACACTGGTTTAATAGTAATTAAACATTTCTAGTTTGGATTTCCAATTTAGTTTCTAAAGAAAATTATATATGCTATGAGTTTGTAGATTCCATATACTGACTACACTAAATGTATAGATCCATATTTTGTTCCAATATAGTTTTTGTGTGTTGGCATTTTCCCAATGGACCAAATGCACCAAAGTACAGGCCTCCTAGACTTCCACTCGCGCAGTCGTCAGGTCCAAACTGGTGGTCCATGAATAAAGGACCGATATTATTTGTGTTTTGAGAATGGGGTTCGGGTGGAAGGAACAATGCAGTGAGGTCAGGACAGACTGACGACTGTGTCAGTTGAAGTCTAGGAGGCCTGTACCTTCAACCTTGGTGCATTTGATCCATTGGGAAAATGCAAACATGAAAAAATTATATTTGAAGAAAATACTGATGACCGCATGAGTCAAAGTCTAAGAGGACTGAAGCAGACATAGCCTCCATTGAGGCATTATCACATTTGAGGACAGCTTGTGGATTCAAAGCAGTTATAATTGAATCAATTACCTAGTCCATTGAAGGCACTTTAGTCTATTCTGTTTGTAATTTCTGATTTAAGAACAACAGCTGATGTGGAACATAGATGACCTGTTTAATGCTGGGACAGAAACTACAGCCTCGACACTCAGGTAGGTACATGTAAACAATACCATATGTCAATAAATTACCCATTTCAATGTGTTCCCTTTCGCATGATATATTTGCCAGCCACAGTGATATGTTGGAGATATCCACAAGGTTATTAATAATGCATGATCATCATACATTGTTGTGTATGCTGGAAACATAACTCAGTATTATAACACAAGTGAGACAAATAAGCAATCAAGAGGTACTGATAGTTTAAAATTGTTAGTAATTGGAGTTTCACAAGATAGATTCAATGTTATCCAGATGGTCAATACTGTGCATGCTTCACAATCCTAATGTTTACAAAAAAGTGCGAGCAGAAATCTTGGATACAATTGGGCCAGACAGGCCAGTGACTATGGGAGATAAGAGGCTACTCAGCTATACAGAGGCGACAATCAATGAAATACAGAGAATGCATCTGATTGCGCCAATGGGGGGACTTCATAGTAATGAATACACAACTGAATTTAAGGTAATGACTTGTGCAACCATAGTAAATTGTAGAGACTTTCTGTTTTAACCATTTGCCATCTACCCAATGTGGGCCTTATTCTTATTTGACAAACCAACAGTAAAGACTGTCAATCTTAATAATGAAAATTGTCATTCAGGGCTACAAACTGCCTCCCAATACTGGGATCCTTGTGAACATTTATGCCATCCACCATGATCCTGATCACTGGGATGAACCATTCAAATTCAAACCAGAGAGATTTATTGGACCTGATGGAAATTTCCAGAAGGATGACCACATTGTTCCTTTCTCTCTTGGTAAGTAAAGCAAAAAATTGTATGATTTATAAATTTTATATCCAATGTCCAGATTTCTATCAGTTAGTCATTAGAATTGGTTAAAACAATTGGCAAATGTTCTCACAAAATGTCTTACAATAAATGTCTCACAAAAATCTGACGATGCATGATACATACGAGTACATGTATTACTTAGTCCTTTATTCTGACTTTCCAAGTTCATCAAGTACTTTGTCTGTCCCACATCATTTGAGACGCAATGCTATGTTCTAGAGTTCTAGATATTATAGTTAGAGGTGTCACAGGTCAGATATTCTTTGGGTCAGGTCTGGCCAGAAAAAGGTGTGCGGGTCAGGTGATTTCGGGTCGGGTCAGAAGTAAACAGAAAAATGAATTTAGTACTAGATATTGAAACGACTGGATGAATACACGGCACATTATGAGACTGTTTAAGCCTGGATTACGGCCCATGATACTTTGATAAAGGAAAAATGATATAAACTTAGCATTAAATCGTTAGAGAATAACGTAAATTATTATCTGTTCTTTATTTTTATATATACAAGAAATAGGCTGGCTAGAAGTTTGAAATTTTTGCCGGGAATACAAATCATTTTTCAATAATTTAATATAATCCTGAGTGTTTTGACCTGACCTGAAATTGGTAAGTAGTTGTTTGTGACCCGACCCGAGTCTTCCAACCCGAGATTTGGGTCAACCCCGGGTCGGTGAGACACCTCTAATTATAGTATCTACATCTACTTTCCAATATATAATTGATACCTGAATGATACAGGGGTTATTCGACATTGTTATTTTATGTTTTTAATGCTGATGCATTATGATTTTACAATAATTCCAGGTAAACATTCCTGTATTGGAGAGGGTCTTGCTAGGATGGAAATCTTTTTGTTCTTCGTGACATTGATGCAAAAATTCACAATTAAATCACCTGATGGGCATCCTCTCCCTCCTATGGAGGGAACTGGGGGAGGAACAAATGCACCCAAACCATATGAAGTGTGCTTTATAAGAGACTAAAATGGCATTATTCAATGATGGATTTTTTCATCCAAAAAGGAGGAGCCAGGACAATGCTGTACATGTTAATAAAGAATGTGTATGAAAGATTGATTGGTTCAGACAATTGGCAGTGTTGTTTGGGAATCGCTGTAGATAAATGGACAAATGGATTGACAAAGGGACATGATGTTTCTGAGTAACAGACTAATACTCAAGGGGCGAGGAGGAAAATTCTCAATAAATGGTGTATAGTTGGTTTGGCAGCATTTTCAGTTAGGGGAGAGTCTTGGATGAAACTTCCACCTAGGTGATAGCTTCACAGAGTGGTAGGAAGTTCTTTTTTTTGAGGAGTTAGCCCCCCACCCCCCAAAAACACCCCACCCTGGGAAAAAAATTGTTCACACTAAATGACCTTAGATATTTTGATGTTTGTAAGTGACATACATAGATATTATATATATGAATCACTTGCAGTATAATTGATGCTGATAACTCCTAAAGAATTTGAAAATTAGTACAAAGTATGTACCCCAGGGGGCAAATTCGTGACTCATTTTCTTACTATTTTGATTCTAACTTTTCAATTAGACACTGTAAGAGGCTGGAAAAATTCATGTGAAGTGCCCAATAGCAGGGTTAGTAACCCTGAAAGATGCAAAGCCATGGAAGAGGTAGGAGCTGAGAAAAAAATTGTTGATTTTTCGAAAAATTTGACATTTTTGACAGCTGGATTTTGTGTATGACTATAGCTGACCCTTATAATTTCTAGATCCATCCCTCTATGATGATATTTATGGTTTTGCCATGTGGAACTAAGATGTAAAACATAATTTAGATGGGTTTTAAGGAAGTTAAAGGTTTTAAACAAGTCCAAAATTTGAAAAATTGTAAATATAAGGTTTCAAATTTACGAATTCCAGTTAGCCATGGCTGACCCCTATAGTTTCTAGATCCATCCCTCTGTGATGATATTTACGGTTTTGCCATGTGGAATTAAGATGTAAAACATAATCTAGATGGGTTTTAAGGAAGTTAAAGGTTTTAAACAAGTCCAAAATTTGAAAAATTGTAAATATAAGGTTCCAAATTTACGAATTACAGGTATAGCCATGGCTGACCCCTATAGGTTCTAGATCCATCCCTCTATGATGATATTTATGGTTTTGCCATGTGGAACTAAGATGTAAAACATAATTTAGATGGGTTTTAAGGAAGTTAAAGGTTTTAAACAAGTCCAAAATTTGAAAAATTTTAAATATAAGGTTTCAAATTTACGAATTCCAGGTATAGCCATGGCTGACCCCTATAGGTTCTAGATCAATCCCTCTATGATGATATTTATGGTTTTATAGTGTGGAACTAAGATGTAAAACATAGTTTAGATGGGTTTTAAGGAAGTTAAAGGTTTTAAACAAGTCCAAAATTTGAAAAATTGTAAATATAAGGTTTCAAATTTACGAATTCCAGGTATAGCCATGGCTGACCCCTATAGGTTCTAGATCAATCCCTCTATGATGATATTTATGGTTTTATAGTGTGGAACTAATATGTAAAACATAGTTTAGATGGGTTTTAATGAAGTTAAAGGTTTTAAACAAGTCCAAAATTTGAAAAATTGATCTCAAAATTGGTCTCAAATTCACATTATTCAGGTACAGCCTTGAATGAGCCCTGATAATTGAAGGTTATGAGCATAATAGTATCAACTATGATATCATAGCTTAGAGACCAGGTGTAGAATATATACCTGTTGCAGCAGTTAGTTTGCTGCATATAGATGGAGTGAAAAGTCGTGAACTACAGTAAAATCTCTCTAATCTGAATGCTACTGGTATTTGGACCAGCTAAAAGCATTCTAATTAGGAGTGTTTGAATTTTGAGGTTTTTACATCTACAATACAAGTTCTGGATTTTGAAGAAATTTGAATGCATTCTCAATGAAAAATATTAATAATATTTATACTAACCACATAAAAAGCTTCATAGCATTCCAAAATCCAATTCAAAAGTTTTGATATCATAACAATTCAGTGTTAAACTGACAATATTTGAGGAATTTTGTAAGAAATATGTGATATTTGGTAAAAAGCGTTCAAGTTAGACAGGTTAATTTTTCAAATATGAGTGTTCACTGTTCGAAGTAAAAGGTGTTCAGATTTCAATTTTTTAAACATAGGAGTCAATGGGAGGAAAACTTGGACTGGGAAAAGTGTTCAGATTGGTTGGTGTTCAGATTAGTCAGGTGTTGGGATGATTGGTAGGTTTTCACAATAGTCAGATGTTGGGATATACAGGTTTCACTGATGATATATCATTTATACAAGATGATGAACTAGAACTACTGTACTAGGCGCATTTGATAATTTTTACCACAATGTTAATACTATGTCAGGAAAAGAAAGCACCCATGACACTTTGCTTGTACAACTTGAAAATCAACAACACTTTAAGATTTGATAAAGGTGTCTACCAAATGAGTAATCCACATAAATTCAAGCACTTGGCATGCTATTCCCTATGATGCTATTTATAGATTTTTAGTCAATGTTATTGATCAGCTTATTGGTTTCATTACTTTCTCTAGAATCTAAAATTGACTTTGGGTTTATGAGAGTAGTAAATTGGAATGCAGTTATATGAAGTATTGAATTGGCTGGAATTGGACACATGTTGCCTGGCTATGTGTGAGTAAACTATGATCTTATATGGATACAAACAGTTCGTTTGACAATGATCATCTATCCTATCTGTAAAATCAGAACTTGAAAAGGGGTTTGAAATGGAGATCGATGAAACCATACCATAAATTGATAAAACTTTCGTGATCGATGCAATGGCTATGACAAAAGGAAAATTAAGATTAACTTATATGTTGAAATTTGGAGAGTTTTGGAAAGCTACATTTGACTACTCCATCAAATCTAGTAAAGGAGCCCAAAGAATAGATTTCATATTAGACTCCTAGTAGTCTCCATCAGTAAAGGATTCTGAAAGAATGCAAAGAATGGATGCTTCCCCTACTGAACTTTAATCCAAAGAAGAAATTACACCATTACCTAAAAATATGAATACCTTTTGGCCAAGTCATATAAAACAAATTTTCAAAGATTACAAAGAAATTTGATAAAGCAGCATTCTAAAAATGTGCCAAATGTCAAGATTGTTTTATGTGGAACTATTGGAGAGAACTTAAATATCTGTGAAAATGATAACTGAAATCCCCTGTTAAATTCCACTCTTGAAGAGGCTAATTTTAAACTTATTCACTCTGTTTTACATTCAGTAGGAGAACATGTGGGACTGCAGTAATTTGCATCAATGACACTGATATTCTAATTTTATGACTATCATTTCAATAAATGTAAAAAATTCTTCAACTGCTAGAAAATGTCATCTGCAAAGTCAGTATGTAAACATTTTCTACAATGTCTGTTTGTTTGAAACATATTGATCATATATATCACCATATATACTTTTTTGATCTACATGAAGATTTTAGTGTGACAAGACCCTATTACCCTGGAATTCCTAATCTCATTGCACATTGCACTAACGGGAGTTTCTAGGCCCAGCGGGGTATGATCCTTATAATCCGTATTTTCCCAAATTATTACTGTTGCCTGATGACAAGTTGTTTTATTGGGAGTGTAGTGATTATAATTTGATAATTTATAATAATATTTTGTATTAGGAGATGATCATTGCTTAATTACAGTATGGGCATAACAAAATATAGAGAAATCATGTTTCTTTTAATTAACCATGTCTTTATGTATTTTGACAATGTAGAACATTACATCGAACATGTTGATGTGAAAAAGTAAAAATGCTATATCACATAATAAATATCATCAAATAATAATTAATTAGTTATAATCCATATAATCAATCAATTACTACACTGTATACGATATCCCTAAGAGCAGTTACACTTTAGGGGGGGGGGGGATTTATTAACCTCTCACCCCCTTAGGAACTCTAGGGTAAGGTCCTCAACTCTAATGATTTTTCTTTTAACAATACTTGTAACATGGATCAAACCTGACCACAATATTTTCAACATCTAATTTCTAAGCTAAAAAGTCATACATTCAAAAAGAGAGACATCCAAGCAATACCTGAAATCTTAAAGGAGGACTGAAAGTATCGCAACAGATTTAGGACAGTCACATGTTGGATTTTTGCTATTTTCTGAGGATTTGAGGAGGTGCATATGTTAGGCCAATGCATTTCCTCCAGGAAAAGCACTCATAGAGATGATAAAATAATTTCTATTTGAGACAGGGTGCAAACAACCCACCCACATGCATCAATATGTTGTGTTTTGATGCACAGTTAACCCCTTTAAAGAAATAATGCATTCCATCAGGGGTTTAAAAGATATCAAATATGGGTGACCAAAATTAAGCTGAAAGTAATGGAGCACCTGAGTTTTCCCTATGGGAAAATAACAGGAAAATATTGTTTTCTGCTTTATCTAAAAGAAATTGATCATTCCTTTTTATGGGTCAACTATGTCTCAAAACGAAACATATTGATGCAACAAAAATTGAAAAAAGCAGGGGTGAAAGGGCTTGAAAATCAGGACAACATTTCCGAAAAAAACATGTGGGTGGATTGTTTGCACCTTTGCTGTCTCAAAGTCCAAACTATTTTATCATCTCTAAGAGTTCTTTTCCTGTAGGTAATGCAATGGCCTATCATATGCACCTGCTTAAATCCTCAGGAAACAGACAAATCTAACATATGACTGTCTGAAATATGTTGCAATACTTTCCGTGCTCCTTTGAGACCTGATATTTCTCAATTTTTCAAACATTGCAATTGTTAAAATTCTTAAACTTCCTTAAAATTCATCTTCGGTATGTTTTACATCTTAGTTTCACACTCTAAAAGTATATGTTTCATCATAGAAGTAGTGATGAAAAAGCCATAAGGGTCATCCATGGCTGTACCTAACATTCGTAAATTTGAAACCTTATATTTACAATTTTTCAAATTTTGGACTGTGTTTAAAATCTTTAACTTCCTTAAAACCCATCTAAATTATGTTCTACATCTTAAGTTCCATACTACAAAACCATAAATATCACCAAAGAGGGATGGATTTAGAAACTATAGGGGCCGGCCATGGCTATACCTGGGATTCGTAAATTTGAAACCTTAGATTTACAATTTTTCAAATTTTGGACTTGTTTAAAACCTTTAACTTCCTTAAAACCCATCTAAATTATGTTTTACATCTTAGTTCCACATGGCAAAACCATAAATATCATCATAGAGGGATGGATCTAGAACCTATAGGGGTCAGCCATGGCTATACCTGGAATTCGTAAATTTGAAACCTTATATTTACAATTTTTCAAATTTTGGACTTGTTTAAAACCTTTAACTTCCTTAAAACCCATCTAAATTATGTTTAACATCTTAGTTCCACACTATAAAACCATAAATATCATCACAGAGGGATGGATCTAGAAACTATAGGGGTCAGCCATGGCTATACCTGGAATTCGTAAATTTGAAACCTTATATTTACAATTTTTCAAATTTTGGACTTGTTTAAAACCTTTAACTTCCTTAAAACCCATCTAAATTATGTTTTACATCTTAGTTTCACACTATAAAACCATAAATATCATCATAGAGGGATGAATCTAGAAATTATAAGGGTCAGCTATAGTCATACGAAAAATCCAGCTGTCAGAAATGTCAAATTTTTCGAAAAATCAACAATTTTTTTCTCAGCTCCGACCTCTTCCATGGCTTTGCATCTTAAAGGGTTACTAACCCTGCTATTGGGCACTTCACATGAATTTTTCCAGCCTCTTACAGTGTCTAATTGAAAAGTTAGAATCAAAATAGTAAGAAAATGAGTCACGAATTTGCCCCCTGGGGTACATACTTTGTACTAATTTTCAAATTCTTTAGGAGTTATCAGCATCAATTATACTGCAAGTGATTCATATATATAATATCTATGTATGTCACTTACAAACATCAAAATATCTAAGGTTATTTAGTGTGAACAATTTTTTTCCCAGGGTGGGGTGTTTTTGGGGGGGTGGGGGGCTAACTCCTCAAAAAAAAGAACTTCCTACCACTCTGTGAAGCTATCACCTAGGTGGAAGTTTCATCCAAGACTCTCCCCTAACTGAAAATGCTGCCAAACCAACTATACACCATTTATTGAGAATTTTCCTCCTCGCCCCTTGAGTATAACAGACTAAATGCCATTTGAAAAAATTGTGAAAATCGAACAGCTTAAAATGATGAATATTCAAGTTTAAGGAGACTTTCTCACACCCTGCCATGTTATCTTGCCCAAATTAACCACCTGGTGGTGAAACTGATAACTACCTACTTAAATATGGTTAGAACACATACTGCAAATGATTCACTGTTATATATAGAATAACATTCATAAATTCATTTGTAAACGCTGTAATACTTAAGAAAAATAACGAAAAAATTCAATCTGTTTCACTTTTCAAAAACATTTCAAGGGGGTTCACACTGCCAAATTGTCCAAAAATCACATGAAAAAATTTTTTTTGTTCACCCGAATCCCCCAACCTGGCTATGGGCCTGGAGTATAACTTAATGCCTCATGCTTATACAAAATTGCAACAGTAAGACTCACCAATTAGTGTTTTCCCAGTACCCGGTGGTCCAAACAACAGCAAACCTTTGGGTGGACCTCTTAATCCAGTAAATATGTCTCTAGAACAAACATATTAATATATAGAAATTCAGACATGTGACCAGTTTATTGAATGTCCTTGACATGTATGATGCATGGCTTAAAGTCCAGGAAATATGTCTTGAAAAAGAATTAATAAATATATATACTAAATAAATGAAATTCAACACAGAATTTGAATTCCCTTATATTATAAAACATCGCACAGATATTCAGCGCAAAAATACATAAAACACCATCTTATATGCTTCCTACTGAATTAAAACATGATTACTTGTGGAGATGGATGTTAAATAGTCCCTTATTTGGGGCATTATTTGAGTTCCACTTCAGATTTTACAATGCTTTATGAAGTACTTACGGTCTTAACATTGGCCACACAACAATTTCTTTAATAGTATCTTTAGCATATTGTAGTCCTGCTATGTCATCCCAACTTATTGGAGGCCCATGGTCCATAATCTAAGAAGGATTTTTGAATGGATCAATTGCAAAAATAATATTTGTTCTTTTTCTGCAATAAATAATGCACCTTATTATCAAAATATATTGTACACATTAAATATATTACTCATTTTGGACTGATCTTATTTGGGATAATAGGAGTTTTGTGTAGTTTGTTGGAGGTATGAGTTATATCTATTTATCTACGTAACCAATTGTCAGGGATATTAAAGAGTTTCACGATGTATACTCCAATCACTTGTTATTATTGTGAGAGTGTTATGTCATAATAATTAGTGCATTTAATGCCAGATATGATTCAATCAGGCTACAGAATATATGATCTTTATTGCTGTGTTACGAATTCCCCGCTTTATACTAAGGTCATAATTTAATAGTGGACTATGCTGACTGTGGTCAACAAATATGTCCTGTCTACCTCTACAGAAATCAACAAGTGTAAAATGTCTAAGGTCGATAAACAATTGTGCATTGTTCATCAGAATGAAGAGGTTGGGAGTCCAAATTGTAATTAGATTTGTTTCTTACCTCATTCTGAATAAGCTCTATCATCTTAGGGTCAATGTTCTTAAGTCTCTCATCAACAGGTTCATTGTCATTTTGAGGGTCCTTGTTAGGGCCAGCTTTACGCACCAGTACACCCCTATACATGTATGGGAGTTAATCATAATAGACTCTAAATTGCAATCATAAGACTGATATTAAAATAAGTTAAATAAGACAAGAATCAAAGAATCAAAGAACACAAGCTGTAAAGAGCAACTCAATTCCAAAACTACTGTCTGTAAAAGATTCCTCATTTTAAATATTTCATGATAAAATGGCACAAATTAAATTAAAAAACATATTTGTGATTTTCTCTCAAAATTTGTCCTGCAAAGATATACACATATGTATTTTAGCATCCATTTTTAATATTTTCAAGTTTTCACATCAACATGTATATGTGTATCCTACATGATGAGCATGTAGTCTGGATTTTTATTAAGGCTAAGGGTTGATGCATTTATCAATCAAATGATACAATGTACTTGTATTTATTTAGTAATCTACAGTTAAAACATTCATATTGCAATTTGACAGAAGGTTCTGAACCATAAATCTAAAACATAATCACATGATACAGTGAACAGTCTTAAAGTATTTATATAGCCATTTATATAAAGCCATCTAAAGTTCCAGAATAATGATTAAATAAAATCATATCTCACCCATTATCTGTGTCAGCATCCCTATTCAATACGGGTGGTACAAATTTGTTGCTAGGCCCACGTCTTAAAAAAAATAGGTGAAAAAGACACTGAATAGCATGGATAAAATGTTCAAGGGGGACGTTTAAAAGAAGTATTTAATTTTTGTGCACTATTGTATACATTTTTTATTTATTTGAATTGTTGAACATCACCCTTATGACTAAATAAGGGAGTAAATGTATAAACAAATATACATACCTTGTGCCTAGTGATTTTTTGCTTGTACCGTATGATGATGTCGTTATTGAACCACTGGGATTGTAATGACGTCCAAATTTCTTCTGCTGGTCTATAGCCTAGAATTGTACAAAGATAAATGCTGAGATATTCCAACCTCGTGGTTACGGCGCCCAATCACCTAGCCTGAACGTGCCGGCGCTCAAGCCCTCTCGGCCAACTCGACAACCCCAAAAAAAAGGTTGTTTTGTTAGTCGATCGAATTTTAAGGCTTATAGGCCTAGAGGCTTATTTGTATTGATGTTCATTACCATTGAACATTTTCTTCCAAAACCTTCCGCAATAATCTTCATAACATACAGTACTTACATTTACATGTATAGTTGGCAAACTTTAACATTAAGTCAGAATAACATGATCATGATTTTTCTTAATATACCCTTTACCCTTACCAATTGTTCTCCTGCTGTCTTGAAGTGCCCATATGAAGGTTTTTGGTCTTCTTCTTCAAATGTTGCGCCATTGTCTTTTGTGAACCCATTGTTGTATCTTGAAGACCCATTGTTTTCTCTAAATGTCCCATTGTTGTTTCTAGCAGTGCCATAGTCTCTTGATCTATTTCCAGGGTTGTTACTTGTTGGCTTTGTACATGCGTTGGAGTACAGAGATGGAGTGGTACCACCTAAAATACAACTAAGTAAATAAAATATAGAAATTCTAAGGTGCCGGGTCAATATTTCAATGTCCGTCAAAAAATGTAATTCATTTAGTTAGGTCTTTACCCCCTCCCCCTCCTCCCCCTTCTATCGAAAGTCAAAATGTTGATTCGTGCAGTGTAAAAGAGTCACAATGTTGATTTGCATGCACTGTACAAGTAAAAGCCCAGCATACAATATACCTGCTACCGCTTTAAACAACACATAGCAAATTCTCTAACATAGCTAGCTTGCATATTTAATGATCATACCATTGTAAAAGATGAAACTCTCGGAAACTAAAAATCAATGTCTGTCACCTAATTAAATGGGGGCTTTACCCCCTCCCCCTAATGTAATTAATTACACTTTTTGACGAACATTGAAATATTGACCTGGCCCCTAATCCATAAGTTTGAGTTTTAATAGCAGTTGGTGATTTTTCTTGTTCTTTTTACCAAAATTGACATGTTTTGAGGAATTTTGCTTTTAATGATTTTCAAAGTTAAAATGATAAATTTAACTATAATTTTCAAAATTTTATTTCATAAAACACAATAATACATCAGAACCATTGTTGTTCTAGAATAATGTAGACTAAAAGTAGACTAACCAAATGAGCCTTGTTTTCTTTTCAAGCCACCAGATGGCATTTCTCCTGGAGGCTGATACACAGGGCTACCACCAGATTGCATTGTTGGGCTGTTTCTTGGATGGCGGAATAATTTTTTCCCTGCATTATTAGAGTCATGGGCTTGTTTGGAGAATTGCTGCACTTGATTTTGAAATATTTGTCCCTCACTGGGAAATCTTTGCCTCTGGTTTATAATTCCTTGCCCTCGATTAGGAAATCCTTGCCCCTGATTTTGAAATCCTTGCCCCTGGTTTTGAAATCCTTGCCCCTGGTTTTGAAATTCTTTCCCCTGATTAGGAAATCCTTGCCCCTGATTTGGAAATCCTTGCCCCTGATTTGATAATCCTTGACCCTGGTTTGGAATTTCTTGACCCTTGTCACTGTGTAGTAAATTGCTTGCAGTTGTAAAACCAAACTCAGATTGATTTTTCAAACTCTTTGAAAAAGATCCATGAGTCTTATTGTCAGAACTTTGTCCATTGTTTTCTGAAGTTCCAATTCTATGTGTCGCAGAGTTTGACGTTGTCCCTGAAACTGGTTGTTCATTAATATTTGCAGTTGATCGAGCAGTTTGGCTGGTAAAGGTTGATTGAGAGGTTTTCTGTGTCACCTTACATGGTTTCATCAGAGTTGACTTGATAGTGTCAGGACACAGATTACTATGTGCAAACTAAAATCAAAAAAAAGCAACAAAATAACTCAATATGACTGAATCAAACTAACATGTAGTACAGACATGTCTGAAAAATGTTATATCATGAATATGGGATGGATACTTCTTAATGTGCGAGCATGTTTCAAAATTTTTAACAGGAGAGGACTTAGAATAGGCTATAGCCTCTTGTCAAATGCTGTAAGATCATGTAATGAAAACATAGGCAAATAAGATATTCTTAACAATAAGCTTTTTACCAATCCCAAGCAATTGACGGATGATAGATATCTTATTGAGTCATAAATACTTGTTAAGTTAGCTCAGCTTCGCTTAACTCAGGTGGATCATAAACACTCAATACATGTAATTCACCCATCCTAACAAGTGTGACACTCATGTATAATGTTAACCTCTTGAATCCCAGGTTCTAAAATAGGTTGAAACCAGATCATTTTTCATTTTTGACAGCTTTTGACATTTTACTACAAAGATACACAACAGATGATGTTCAATTTAGTAAAATTAGACGGCGGAGATCATTTCTTGACATTTTAAAACAATTTTTGTGTAAATTGGATAAAAATTGTTCAAATAAGAGCAATTTTAGTAAACAATTTTGTGATGGATTTTCTCGTCACCCTGGGTTTCAAGGTCATTTCTGAGGTGACGAGAAATCCCGTCACTCTGGGTTAAAGAGGTTAAAGTTGAAACAGAAAATGTACCTTTGATGTGTCCAAAAGGTTTTTAAAATTCTGTAAGTTCTTAATCTTATCTAGAGATAGCCCACTCTTCCATTTATCACTTTCTGAAAAGAAAATTAATCGTTTAAAAAAATTCAGTGAAAAAGATCACAGATTAAATGACAAAAATATGTAAGCTCAAGTCCAAAAGAGACCAAAGAGATAATTGCACTGAAGGAAGAAAAGATCTAAGAGTGCAACAAGTTATGAGGAAAACACCCTTCCCCCTCTGCTTTTTAATCTGTTTGTTATCAATTGCCAAACCACAAATGCAAATTTCTCAACAAAGCTTGATTACATCTGACTAGTTGTGCTCATCTAGACACTGAAGCAACCATTTTCGGAGATATAGAAATGTATTTGTGACATGTTGAGCTTTTCTTTAAATCATTTAAAGATTCAAACTTTCAGATTATAAATGCTATACTAGGCATTAACATGAAAATGTCACCACCTGCCATTTGTTACAGACACTGACTGCTGAACATTGTTACAGATGCCAAACACTGTTATATATGTACCAAATACCAACTGCTGAACACCAGCCACAAAAAAAAGCTGGAGACTATTACAATATGTCAGAACTTCTGGTAGTGACATAAAAATGAGGTTGACATAGCTTTAATCTCGTTCTAAGCAACATCTCTGATGTCTCTGGATATATCATTAATTCATCTTCAATAATTAAATGCTTATTCTGCAGTTTTTGTTGGGCAAAGCTCAAAACCTCTCTATATGGAAAACACCGTTTCCATTGAAAAGTGTACTGTTTTGATATATTTGCCTGTAAAATTACCGTATTTGTAAACAAATTACATGAACCACATTTTAGGTTTTACTATTTCTTCAGTAGATGAAAATTGATATTTTATCTTACCATTTTTGTGGCCTTTACTTATGGCTAGTGCGGCTTCAGCATAGTTATCAACACCTGAAAGGAAACAAATGGACTATTTCAGGAAAAGTTTTCAAAACAGAACCACATTTTCATTTTAGACTTTATGCACTGAGAAAGATACTTTATAATGTAATGGCATGCGAAGTCGGGGGGGGGGTGCCTTGGGTGCAACCACAACTCCCTTCTATAGATACTATATCTTACAATTGGTAAATGGTAATTTTAGTATCATGAAAATTTTGCTCAAACTTCAAGGTGAAACAAAGCAAAATGTCAAGGCTAGTTACTTCTTAAATAGGCCTTAGAAGTATGTAATACAAGTAATTTATTTCAGATTGATTGCCTGTCCAACCCAAAAGTATAAAACTTCAACTTACCACCCTGATCACTGGGGCTGTCGATGATAGATGTGTAGGCCTCAGTGTAGGAATTGAATAACACTGAGCAAGCCTCTGGTGACAATCTGGTGAAAAAAACATAAGAGATTGAAGCCTTGAACCATAGGTTAACTTACATGTCTCCAATAAGTCTCTAATAAAATAAATAAATAAATAAAAATTATGACACTTCTATGCAAGAACTCTGATATTTCTAGTCAAATCAAGAATCGTGTTCATGTAAGGATGAATTGACCCTTGACGGTTAGAAGGCTTTTTTACATGTATATCCTCACAAAACTCTGTTCTTTGGGATAAAAAGATGAGATGAGATGTGGGAAATGAATCATGTTTAAATTACACAGAGTAAATGCTGCAAAATTCTTCTCTTGAGCCCAATATTGTTTTTTAATATATTAGCCATTTGTGAGCAATAGAAAAAAATATATAAAAAAAACTTACAGTTTATTAGCTCTAGCAAGCTGGAGTTGACAAAAAGTATCACGTAAAATATCTGCTTTATCAGAAGGGGTAGTTTCCTGAGACTGCTGTTGAAACAGTGCACTCTGCCAATTATGATGTGCGAGGTGATCACTGGTGTCAGTTGGCTTGGACTCCATATTTCAGATATCTCAAAAATGTTTCTGGAATGAAGGTCAAGTAAAACCAGAACAACGGCAACGCCAAAGCATATGCGAATCCCATCGAACAGAAATGGCTGGCATTTTTACAAACGAATAGCAGATATCATAAAACAAAACACCAGAAACGCCACCATTTTCAAAATGGTTGCTCACTAGCCAAGTTGTCATCAGAAGAAATAATATGCTTTAAAGTAGCCACCTCTAAAATTTTTGAAAAATCGCACACGTACTTGTAAAATAACACACATAAAAATGGTGGCCATTTTGCGACTCCCCAAAGTTTTATTAGACAATGTGCCATGCTTAAAGCATTCACATATCAAATATGAACAAAATCGCTCCACTACTTTTCGAGTTATAGTAAAATACGTTAAAATGGCGGCCATTTTTCAAAATGGCCACCTTCTACCAAAAGTGTCATTAATAGAAATAGACAGTGTGCCATGCTTATAGTATTCACATACCAAATATGAACAAAATGGCTCCACTACTTTTCGAGTTATAGTAAAATACATTAAATTGGTGGCCAATTTCAAATTTTTTTTCAAAATGACCACCTTCTACCAAAAGTGTCATAGGACAGTGTGCCATGCTTATAGTATTTTAAGTAGCCACCTCTAAAATTTTTGAAAAATCGCACACGTACTTGTAAAATAACACACATAAAAATGGTGGCCATTTTGCGACTCCCCAAAGTTTTATTAGACAATGTGCCATGCTTAAAGCATTCACATATCAAATATGAACAAAATCGCTCCACTACTTTTCGAGTTATAGTAAAATACGTTAAAATGGCGGCCATTTTTCAAAATGGCCACCTTCTACCAAAAGTGTCATTAATAGAAATAGACAGTGTGCCATGCTTATAGTATTCACATACCAAATATGAACAAAATCGCTCTACTACTTTTCGAGTTATAGTAAAATACGTTAAAATGGAGGCCATTTTTCAAAATGGCCGCCTTCTACCAAAATTGTCTTTAGACAGTGTGCAGTGCTTATAGTATTCACATACAAAATATGAAAAAAATCGCTCCACTATTTTTTGAGTTACAGCAAATATCGTAAAATGACGAGTAAAGGCCACCATTTTTCAAGATGGCTTCCATGTGCTTCTTTAATATCTACATTTGTAGCATTATTAATGTCCTTTATAATTTTTTTTACATTTAAAACATATTGCTATTACAGTTTTACATATTGCACCTAAATTACTGTAAAATCGGCACTAAAATGGCCACCATTTTGAAATGAGCGGCCATTTTGAAAATCGGCTTTCGAGCAGAACTTCTACCCCCATAGGGTATATGTGTAGAAAATATGAACAAAATTGGGCCAACGGTATTTGAGTTATTGCCCGGACGGACGGACGAACGTACGTACAGACGTACGTACGGACAGACGGACGGAGGCGTTCCCTATATCCCTCCGAACTTCGTTCGATGGGATAATGATGATGAGTGTACAATACATGTACTGGCCTACTTCAACCATCAAAATATCATAATCCATCAATAATGTATCAAATTTTATGCTAATTTCTAATTCATGGATATGTTTTCAACAAATGAATATGAAGGCTCACTACTGTAGGGTGAAGGGACGTAACATTGACACCATTTTGGGATAACTTCGACATGTGGGGTAACTTTGACACCTTGTTGTTTATTTGCTCTAATTTCTGATCTTGGGGAAGCCATGTGATCATGGGCTTTCAATTCAATTTTTCTAGTTGAAAGCCCATGCATGGATCGAGTTCTCCCGAGATTTTAATTTTTCCAGAAATCAAACATGGCGGAAAATACAGGGTGGTCAAAAAAATGGAAACCCTTACACCATTTTCCTCATATATTTGTCATTTTAAGAAATAACTCCCTGATAATTTGCACATTTGTACATCATTCAATTTCCTACCAGCTTACTTTATTTCATGACCATCGGATTGATAGTCACAATGTTACAGCACTTTACAGAACATGCCCTAGTGGCCACTATTGCGCTGTCGGGCCACCTGCACTCGTTGTCCAAAATGTCCCTACCTGTGGGGATATGGCAAGGAAAAAGTGTATGAGGATGACCTCAGGACAATCGCAAACCTCAAAAGTGAGATCATCCATTTCATTCAGGCCATACTTGCTGAGGAATGCATTCGGCCCATTGACAACTGTGCAGTTTTACCTACAGCGCGATGATGGCCAAACTTGAAGCATGTTATTCAAAGTGCTGTAAAATTGTGACTATCAGTCCGATGGTCATGAAATTTGGTAGGGTTGTAGGAAATTGAATGATGTACAAATGTGTGAAATATCAGGGAGTAAAACCTTAAAATGACAAAGATATTAGGAAAATGCAGGGTTTCCATTTTTTTGACCACCCTGTAGAAATTCTTCTTCTAATAAGTAAGTGTCAAAGTCTCTTATGTCGACATTACCATACACGTGGACGTTACACCCCTTTGCCCTAGTCACAGGCAAAGATAGATCGACAGTGCTCACCATAAATAAATGACACCTGGATTTGCTGAAGTGAGGATTTCCCATGTTAAAAAGAAGATAATTTTCAAGAGGCTATACATCAGTGGATGAGCGTATACAAAATGTAAAATATACAAAACTTAGGGGATTTGTATCTAGAAATTATTGGAAAGTATGAAGTCTCAAATCACCATGGTCTTGAAATGGTGATAGAAAATCCAGGTGTCATTTATTTATGGTGAGCACTTACAGTGGGGGACATAAAGAATTGCTATAGCTATGAGAATTACATGCTGTCGTACATGTAATAAATTCTTACCTCAGTGTATTCAGTGCTCTTTTTTCTCTGTCCTAGTAAGTCTAAATATAGTGGAATTTGTGTCCATAATGACAAATAAGAACTTAAAAAGTTGAAGTGGATATTCACATGTTAATGCGGACTCTTCAAATGTTGAGGTGATTTTGGAGCCTGATTACACTGCAAGGGAGGATAGGCTCCAAGAATGCAACATGCCACTCCACCATTTTGAGACCTGTCACGAGTAAATAAGGTTAACTGATGTTGCATTGTGGGAGTCAATCCTCCTTGGATCACAAACATGGCGATTCATAAAAACATTTGTTCGATTTGGTAAGCATTTATCCATCATTTGCAAGTATGAAGCTTTGGATTCATTTATTGTGCTACTTTAGTGAATGCAGTACTGTCAACCCCCAAAGATTTTCTCGCGGGACAGATTTTTTAGACCCAGTGCCAAAAATTCGCGGGATTTTGCGGGACATCCACCTAAATTCGCGGGATTTCGCAGGACATTTAAGGGATTTGCGTGATTGCGCTAAAAGGTCAAATTTTGATCAAATTCCCGGGATTTCGCGGGACCATTCGAGGGGACAAACACGCTACTTGCGGGACAGTTAACAGGGAAATCCACCAAAGACTTCATAGAGGGATAATTTTTTAGACAAAGTGCCCTAAATTCGCGGGATTTTGCGGGACATCCACCTTTTGCGGGATGTCGCAGGACATTCGAGGGAATTTTAATGTAAAAGTACTCTTGAATCAAACTTTCAGATACTGATTTATCAAATATAATGCACTTAACTTAAGTAAACGTCAACACAATTCCACACAATACGCATAGAACTATTATTAAACTATCAAAAAAACACGCTTTAGGTGTGAGTACCGTAATCCGACACGAAATTAAAAAATTCTTGTGAATACTTTGCACTTATGGCGTTCGTGACCAACTATGAAACATTTACCCCCATAGTGTTATATATCAAAATGTACCTATTCATATAGGGGTTCGATTATTCTACATCAAATTATAGGGAGTCAGGTTTCTTTTCGAGATATCAGTGTCCATTTATTGGAACTCGCGTTTGCCAACATTTGTTCAGTTCTGAGATGAAGGCCGTGACACGCGTAGTAAAAAGGCCAACGTTGGAACTAATCGTGCTGTGCTTTCATTAACGCCGTCCCATAATGGAGAGGACCCAGTTTTTATTATAGGGACCCCAAACAATGAAAATGAGGGGTCACTTGGACGCAGTGCAGGTCATATCAAACAAGGCATTAACATGACAAAATGTCACCACCTAGTTGCTCACAATATTATGAGTTCAAACTTAAGTCAGATTTGAATTTCTGAGAACTTGTAAAGTCAAATTTGAGCTTCTGAAAAGATGTAGATGATTTTGAAAAAAAAAATTGGTCAATTTGAAGCAAGTTGAAAACAGACCTTTTTGACCTTGAGAAGGTCATTAAAGGTCAAATGTCAAATCTAAAGTCAGATTTGAATTTCTGAGAACATGTAGATGATTTTGAAAAAAAAAATTAGTCAATTTGAAGCAAGTTGTAAAAAGACCTTTTTGACCTTTTTTGACCTTGAGAAGGTCATTGAAGGTCAAATGTCAAATCAAAAGTCAAATCTAAAGTCATATTTGAATTTCTGGGAACATGTAGATGATTTTGAAAAAAAATTTAGTCAATTTGAAGCAAGATGAAAAATACCTTTTTGACCTTTTTTGACATTGAGAAGGTCATTGAAGGTCAAATGTCAAATCTAAAGTCAGATTTGAATTTCTGAGAACATGTAGATGATTTTGAAAAAAAAATTTAGTCAATTTGAAGCAAGTTGAAAAAAGACCTTTTTTGACTTTGAGAAGGTCATTGAAGGTCAAATGTCAAATCTAAAGTCAGATTTGAATTTCTGAGAACACGTAGATGATTTTGAAAAATCTTTTTAGTCAATTTGAAGCAAGTTGAAAACAGACCTTTTTGACCTTGAGAAGGTCATTTAAGGTCAAATGTCAAATCTTAAGTCAGATTTGAATTTCTGAGAACATGTAGATGATTTTGAAAAAAAAATTAGTCAATTTGAAGCAAGTTGAAAAAAGACCTTTTTGACCTTTTTTGACCTTGAGAAGGTCATTGAAGGTCAAATGTCAAATCTAAAGTCATATTTGAATTTCTGAGAACATGTAGATGATTTTGAAAAAAAATTTAGTCAATTTGAAGCAAGATGAAAAAATTACCTTTTGAACTTTTTTGACATTGAGAAGGTCATTGAAGGTCAAATGTCAAATCTAAAGTCAGATTTGAATTTCTGAGAACATGTAGATGATTTTGAAAAAAAAATTTAGTCAATTTGAGCAAAGTTGAAAAAAGACCTTTTTTGACTTTGAGAAGGTCATTGAAGGTCAAATGTCAAATCTTAAGTCAAATCTAAAGTCAGATTTGAATTTCTGAGAACACGTAGATGATTTTGAAAAAAAAATTTAGTCAATTTGAAGCAAGTTGAAAACAGACCTTTTTGACCTTTTTTGACCTTGAGAAGGTCATTGAAGGTTAAATGTCAAATCTTAAGTCAGATTTGAATTTCTGAGAACACGTAGATGATTTTGAAAAAAAAATTTAGTCAATGTGAAGCAAGTTGAAAACAGACCTTTTTGACCTTTTTTGACCTTGAGAAGGTCATTGAAGGTCAAATGTCAAATCTAAAGTCAGATTTGAATTTCTGAGAACATGTAGATGATTTTGAAAAATTTTTTTAGTCAATTTGAAGCAAGTTGAAAAAAGACCTTTTTGACCTTTTTTGACTTTGAGAAGGTCATTGAAGGTCAAATGTCAAATCTTAAGTCAAATCTAAAGTCAGATTTGAATTTCTGAGAACACGTAGATGATTTTGAAAAAAATTATTTTAGTCAATTTGAAGCAAGTTGAAAACAGACCTTTTTGACCTTTTTTGACCTTGAGAAGGTCATTGAAGGTCAAATGTCAAATCTTAAGTCAAATCTTAAGTCAGATTTGAATTTCTGAGAACACGTAGATGATTTTGAAAAAAAAATTTAGTCAATTTGAAGCAAGTTGAAAACAGACCTTTTTGACCTTTTTTGACCTTGAGAAGGTCAAATGTCAAATCTAAAGTCAGATTTGAAGGTCAAATGTCAAATCTAAAGTCAGATTTGAATTTCTGAGAACATGTAGATGATTTTGAAAAAAAATGTAGTCAATGTGAAGCAAGTTGAAAAAAGACCTTTTTGACCTTGAGAAGGTCATTGAAGGTCAAATGTCAAATCTAAAGTCAGATTTGAACTTCTGAGAACATGTAGATGATTTAGAAAAAAATTGAAGTCAGTCTAAACAGTATTTGTTAAGTTATAGGAAGTTGTAAGAAATTGTTACAGACGCCGGACGCCAACCGCCGGACGCCAACCACCAACCGCCGGACGCCGTCGCAAAAAAAACGGAGACCATAACAATATGTCACCACTTTTGGTGGTGACATAATAAAAATCATCTCTGGATGAATGGATTGATGAAGATCTTACCTTCAGTCTTTTATTTGGTCAAAATCCGCTAAATAAACGAAGGATATTCTATTTCTAAAAGAAATAAAATTATCTTTCGGAGTTTCTTTCCCGGAAGTTGATTTCCGATCAATATAGTATGAGGTATGTGATAGGACAATCACTAGTAGTTGATTTCCGAGCGGTAATCGGTACGAGTCCTTTGATTGGCCGCGATTATTAATCGCGCATGTGTCTTGATAATTTTAACTAATCAAATTGCTGGATTTGTTGCGCATGCGCAAAAAACTGAACCAAAGAATTGAACCTCACGGAGATTGCTCCTAATGAAACTTTCTGAGCGATCAAAATCAATAGCAAATTGCTTTGAAATACGCAAAGAAAAACGGTAATAAATTGAATATTAGTAACCTCTTTCAAATGAAGGTATCTGCATCATTTAATGACCTACTAGACGTGTGCAGAACACTGATCTGGGCCAAAAAATAACAAAACTGATGCAAACTTTTCATCAATTTTTTTTCGTTCAGTGCAAAAATGTGACATTGAATTCCTGGGAACCTTTTTTCATGCGGACGGACTTTTTTGAGGGGGGACGCAATTTTGGAAAATCAATCCGTCCCAGGGACGCACTTTTGGACAAGCCTACTGAAAGCACTGTCGTGACATACATCCCTATTTCCATAATTAAAATGAAATTTGCACTCTTCCTCTTTATTTTGATACCAAACGGCATGCTAGAAGCCAACTATGGTGTTGTTTGGATCAAAATCATAGTTAGGCCTAAGTGTACTACAGTATATGCTCTTTCCAAAAGCAGTCTTCGATGATCTGATGCACTGGGAGTTCGGCAGCACTTTTCAAAATAACCCTGCGTGCAGAGTCTAGTTAAACTACACGACGAAGCTCTCTTTTAAGAAGTGAAGTCAAACGAATGCAAAGGGTACTTAGCTTCTTATATCACAAGATAATCACTCAGGGATTGTTACAATTTTGAAAATTCGCGGAGGTCAAAGCCGTCATTTGCGGGAATTCGCGGGACATTGCGGGACACGCGAATAAGCCAAATTTTGGTCAAATTCGCGGGATAATCCCGCCATTCGCGGGACACTTGACAGCTCTGTGAATGGGAATTATTTTTCTACCACTTGGGAGAGTTTGATACACGAAACTTAGAATTTAGCTCATTGTGACAACTTTTGATGGTTGAGGTTTAGTTTTGTCCCCCACTTACAATTTTGTAACTTTTATAACAATTTTGTAAGGGAGTGAAATAGGAATTCTAGAACTGGTGAAATAATTCTATAAAACATACAGCTGTATATAGAGAAAAATGTGCATTCAACAAAATAGCGTCAACGTAGTAACTGATGTATTCTAATAGATTTCCTTACCAAAACTTTAAAACTGGCGCTACACCGGAAGTTCATTGATTCATGGCGATTTTCATAGTATCACGAATTCTCAAACTTGTAATAAACACTTTCACTACTCAGTTTATTTGTCATCGAACAGTAATAAAATGCAAAATTTATATCAATTAAGTATTCTTCTCCATAGTTTATACTTAAAAGCAGTTTAGGTTATTTCACATTAGTGAAACTTATACCGTGATACTAAAAGGCATCCCGGGCACCTGTCCAGGTCATAGCCTCGTTTTGAAATTTAAACAACGCATGACGTCCGAAACTGTCTCCGAAAATGTTGAAGAAGTCGATGATACCTTGCCTCCAGAGGATTGTTTCACCGTAGAAGGTAAATTTGATATCTTGGACATATTTTGGAGATAATTTTAAAGCCATATGAATGTAAACCCACCTCTAAAATCGAAACCAAAGTCCGCACATATGTTTGGATTTTTTATTTTTCGGAAGAAATGTGACGTGTTCCCTCTCTGGGTCAAGATTGCAGTTAAAATCCCATTGAGGACCATTATAACGTTTCATTCCATAATATATTCATGGGCATACATCAAGCTCAGCGAAACAGTTCCTACAGTGCTGATATATAATAATTAAGGGTGCGTTTTCAAACTAAACAGAGTGCTCCTATCAAAATGAATTTGCCTACATACCCCTGAGACTCTTATCTGATAGATAGAATGCACAAATAAAACAAAAGTTTTGCTATTATAGGTAAAAAGTTCTCTTGAAATTTCGGAGTGATTTTACCTGTTAATTCTGTCCATGGTCCGCCATTTTTGCGGAAGTTACACTGAAACGCAAACTCCATGAAACGAAACGAAATCACTAGAAAAAACATGGCACACATTGTGCGCATGTGCAGCAAAGTTTAGACCAATCAGATTATTTGATTATTTTGCGCACATGAATTATTTGCTTCTGAGCACTTACAAGCTTACCACAATAAACAAACCTGGCAGAGACTACCCTTAGAACCTACTCCATTTTGGCGAAATTTCAGCTCAAACTCGTGACAAATGCATTATACATACGCTGGTGTGAAGCCTTGGAGACACTCATTTTGGTAAATATGATTTATGGGGTATACTTTTCTGCAGTTTGTGGGAGTTTGGAACATTAAATGTTAAAATTCAAGAAAATATGCCAATTAAACGACTGATCAATTAATATATACCAGCACTGTAGTGTTCATTGGAGTCTTGTCTAGCTTGCCGTTACAAAATAATGATACGGTGACCACACCGTTTTTTGATAACTGAATCTGGAGAGAGCTACCACTGTAAAACTACCTGTTTCAGAAAATTATTCTGCTCTACATAGTCTCGAAAATCACTCCGCCATCTCTAAAAATTCTGTTTCTAACCAAACTTGTAAATCTTTCCTGATAGATTAGTACTTACCCTATCGAGAATAAACCTTGGTTCATTTGTCAAACACTAGATGTCGCTGCTACGGGCCAGAAAAGGAGAAAAGGCTTTTTATACAAGAAACCAAATAACCAATGGTAACTGCTACTACTTTTTTCAAGGCCTGACTTCGTCGCTAACATGCTAAATATAAGAGTTAGCTGACGTTTGGGAGTCTGACTTACCTTCTAAAGGTTAGAACCCGAATCTTAATGAAACCATATCACCTTTGTTGCGTCGATGATGATGCATAAACATAGCATTTGATAGAAATTAGTGTAAATGCTTTTCCGACTTTTTCATTTTTCATCAATGTTGACTTTTGGGAAGGCGTTGTAGTTATCACGAAATAACGCATTGACCCTTGAACTTTACTTTGTTGACGTGTCAACCAAGCATGTCTGGTGTGAAAATTAAAAGAATATTAAGCAATGTTCTACATCCGCCAAGCAAAGTGAAGTAGCCAATATAAAATTACCAATTTCAAGTGAAGTACGCAACGAACGAAACTGCGTGATCTACAGTCCCACTATTTGTCTGAACGAAATGCTACCTCTTGGATGTTGTGGCAAATGCTCCATGGTTGACGGAACAAAGGTGATATGGTTTCATTAAGATTCGGGTTCTAACCTTTAGAAGGTAAGTCAGACTCCCAAACGTCAGCTAACTCTTATATTTAGCATGTTAGCGATGAAGTCAGGCCTTGAAAAAAGTAGTAGTATCCCTACTCCGAACTATATTCTCTGGTAGAAAGCAGCCTACTTTTTCACCCATTGAAATACATGTAAAATTGACAAAGTTCAAATCATATAATTTCTCAAATCCCAGCCCATCGAATCCTCGCATCCATTCAGATCATGTAGTCCTATTCAAAAACTTCCTGTTCGGATCTAAATGGTGAGAAAAATTTTGCTACAGTGCTGACAGTAAATAATAAAGGGTGAGTTTTCATTATCCGATGCCAGGACTATAGTTCTGAGAACGTCTCAATCTTTTGCCTCTACGCCTCTCACACTAAAGGTTCAGCTAGAAAGTATCATTTTGGTAAAAAAGTGCAATACCTGCACATGTTATTTTCTGGTACAAAATTAAGTATGAAGGCATGTGTGTATTTCCTTGCTTTTTTCAAGAACGTATCATTACACTGTCTACTTTTAGTGAACCTGGAAATAGGTCAATGGTAGCTACTGTGTTGTCTGGAAACTTTGAAAGAAAATTTGGAAAAATTGAAAGTGTGAAATATCAGAATTTCCTGGAGTTCCCATTGAATTCCTACCAGATATTCTAAAAGACAATGTAATGATACTTTCCTGAAAAAGCAAGGAAATTAACACATGCCTTCATACTTTATTTTGTACCAGAAAATAACATGTGCAGGTATAGCAAATTTCCAGCTGTACCTAAGGTGCCATGATACTTAACAGGAAATGACGAAACAGGAAGTGACAAAATTTTGCATTTTTAGACAATTTTTGAACAAAGATCTATTCAGAGTTCTGTTTTGACCTCCAGTCAATTTAACTATTTCCACATATCATTTACATGACCAGGATCACAATGTGCATGGTCAGAATGACCAAACATGATGAAATAACCTTTTCAGCCCTTTGAAAATGTGACTGAAAAATAACTAAATGTAGTAGACAGAGAAGGTCACTGAACAGAATCTTTTGGATTTTTCAGAAATGTGCCTAATATAATGCTCTAACTGGTACAATCTTTGAAATTTTAGAAAATTGTCTGAAACAAAAATGGCGGTCATAAAAAGGAAAATACTAGTAGATCGCTTTTCAAATCGATTTTTTTAATTTTTTCCTTTTTCTGTTGAATGATATCAAAGGACCTTATACACCCGCCATTGGGATCTCCCCATGGGAAAAAAATAATTCATCTGATTTTTCAAAATGAGTATTCTGCTTCAATTATTACATTTATATGCACACTAGTATCTTGTTGACCTATATTCAGCACTGTATTGATGTATAGGCCACTTATTAGGGTCATAATTCAATCATGAAGTGTAGAGGCATAGATTCCAAACCAGGAAGTATTTTTGTGTCTGTCAAAATCCATTTACATCCTACGCATCCCTGCATCTTATCCAAATATGTTACTACATAATGAAATATAATAGTATAATCTTTGGTTTTACAAACTTGTATGATATTTGATAAGTGTAAAAGTTGTTTTTGGAGCATTTTTCTATAGCCATTTTGTAGGGGAAAAAGTGATGAAAAAATGTACAATCTTTTAATTTTAAGTATGACCTGAATCGATTGCAAACTTCATATTTGCACATTTGATGAGATAAAACATTTGTGTCGTATTGTGAAATTATTAAGTTTGCAATCGATTCAGGTCATAGTGTATTTTTGGTATTTCTGTGATAATCAATTGAAACCAATGGCCTCTATTGGGATCTGCTGATATCCTCATGTTAAGTCAATGGTGCACAGCTCCATGTAAGTCAATACAACCTTACTGAACGAAATGATCCCTATCTCAGCTTATGTGTGTCCGAGCACTTTAATATTTTCCAAAGTATTATATGACATTTTATTCTTCATGTTACACCTATGAATGATTCATTTTGACCATAGGGATATTTGCCAATAATTGCACCTTGTCCTTTTCAAAGATTGTATCATTTGGAGCAATATATTGGGCACATTTTCTGAAAAATTCAAAAGATTCTGTTCAGTGACCTGTCTTAGCTCCTACTTTTAGCAATAAAAAAAAATTCAAAATTGTGCAATAGTAAGACCAAACAAAATGGTTAGATGATTAAGTTCTAATTTTTTATTTGTTTTGATATTTTATAGCTCTAAAGATCATTAAAGAGGCTCAACAGCAGCATGGGCTTAGACATGGTGACTTTCAACGGTACAGGTAAGTCATCATTCGTTCTTTACATATTACATAATCTTAGAGAACACATAAAGCTTTAAACCTGTTAGAAAAATTTGTTTATTTTGTAAATTGTCAGGTGCTAAATAGTCAAATCACTAATGGGTTTCTAACATGGTGATAGTTCGCGATCATATATATTCTTAGATTTTCGGCACACAGACTAATATGGACATTCTAAAAATTTTGATCCGCATTGCCAAGCGGGAATCGCACTCCTTCATGGTGAAAATTCAAGATGGCCGCCAAAAATATCGTCAAATATGTATATTTTTTTGATAATTTTTTTACTGACTTTATTTCAATAAAATGTGATAAATTAGTGTCTTCAGGTATTATCTAATAATATTCCTACCAAATGAATTTTTTATTAAGTATAAACATAAGAAATTGCTTTAATAGCGCCATCTTTTGATATAATTATACCAAAATTGACGTCAAAATAACAAACATTTCCCTTATTCACTACTTCTTTTCAATAAAATTTGACAAGTTTATATTTTATCAAGGCTTACTGATAATATTCAACATATATCCGTCAAAATATTTCATTATAATCAATAAAGAAGAGTGTTGGGTAGCCCCACCTATAGGTATATATGCTCTGAAACATAAATTAATGATTATTATTTTATTCATGCTGACCCAATTTGCTTATTCTTAAATAACTGTTATCTGTAATGAAAATGTTAGATTTTCTGCACACAGACTAATATGTATATTTTAAAGATCTCAATCCGCATTGCCAAGCACGATTCTCACTCCTTCGAGGTTAAAATTCAAGATGGCCACCAAAATAATCGTCAAATAAGAATATTTTTTTGATACTTTTTTTTCTGCTTTTATTTCAATAAAATGTGATAAATTAGTGTCTTCAGTTATTATTTAATAATATTCCCACCAAACAGTTTTTTGTTAAGTATAAATATAAGAAATTGCTTTTACAGCGCCACCTTTTGATAAAATTATACCAAAATTAACGTCAAAATAATAAACAATTCCCTTATTCACTTCTTCTTTTCAATAAAATTTGACAAGTTTATATTTTATCAATTCTTTAGTGATAACATTCAACATATATCTGTCAAAATATTTCATTATATCCAATAAAGAAGAGTGTTGTGCAGCCCCACCTATAGGTATATGCATCAAACTGAAACATAAATTAATAATTATTATTATTTTATTCATGCTGACCCAATTTGCTTATTCTTAAGTAACTGTTATCTGGAATAAAAATGTTAGTGTTTCTCATGTTGACGTGTATAAAGTCAACAAATTATATCAACCCAGACTAAACACCTGTACTTGCTGCCGAACAGCCCCTCTTTGCACTGTTCAAGCAGTAATAGTGGACAATGGCAAGAGGAGATGGGAGAAAAAGCGAAGCTGATAAGGATACTTGGTGGAATACACACTGAGATGGGAGCATTTCACATCTTGGGCAATCTATGAGAGAATACTTGGATGGATAATCTCCCTCTCTCAAGCTGGCATAGCCACATCTGGTACAGCTGATTCCTTTATCAAATTAACCAACTCGCACTAACTTGCAGAGCACATCATATTTCTGCCTGTAGTCTTTATATTCTTGACAAAAAAGCCTGTGAGACACATTGTTTGTGCTGTGATATCGATGAATAACCTCAGTTTGAGTTGGATGACTGGGTGAAAAAACAGTCCCAGCTGAATGGCTCTTCCCAATTTAAGTTCTGGTTGATGGTAATGGATCTTAAACTTTTGAGAGGGCAACTTCAGCCTATACAAAGACACCCTTTCTGAGTTGTTGCCATGCCTTTTTATACTCAATCACACAAACTAGTTAAGGTGGCTACCAGTTTTATCCGTGACATGAACCAATTTAATGCAACACACCAATCAGTGCTTGGTGAATTCATTAAGGAAAACTAAACATTGATTAAAACAACAAGGCACATGACATGAACGAAATCATACCATCTAGACATTGTTTTGGACAGTTATGAAACTACATGTAACAGTTTAGAGTCTGGTATAAGAAATAAGAGAGGAAACTGTAAAAGGAGGCATATTTATCCTGAAAATTCCCTACCTAGAAACTGGCAAGATTGTTTGTGCTTGAAGTAAAACAAGAGAGAACTGTTTCAAATCCTTACTGCAAATGTGAGCATTATAATTATTCATGAACGAAAAAGACTTCTCGCAACCTTTGATCAGGATGTCATGTGTCAATCCACAAAAACAATCCACCAAAGACAAATAACCTTGCACACGATCAACACATTTTTTCTGAATGAACCAATATGAGTTGGATTTGACGAGGGGAGACAGTTCAGGTACTTGGCAGCACATGAAATGGCGAATTCCATTGGGCCTCAAAAAGTCTATGTCTGCCATTATTCCACTCATTGACAAGTTACACCTGGATTTCATGGAAGCAGGGGCAGAATTATAACATGGGACAGATGAAACTCATTTTCACAACTGATGAATGCACTTCTCAGTCTAATAGATGATCCTTTATTAATGTTATGTTGCTGTATGATAAATTCAGGAATGACACCTCAATCAACACTGCAAGAAGGAATACATTTTTACAGAAGACTACTTTATTATTGACCACATTCCTCCAACAGCTGACGCCTTAATGCAACACTGCAAGGGAGCATTGTACCAAGGTGTGCATATCTGGGGTCAGTTTAACAAACCAAGTCCTATCATTCCCCGGGTATCATTCCATCTCCAAAGAACTGGGGCTGGAGAACAGAGCCAAGAGACAACACTCAGAAGCCACACAGGACTACCTTAAAGCAGATGGCTGATGCTAGTCAACCATTAGTGTGGTTGTCAGAAGCAGTGTTTTCCATGAAGATGTACCATGTACCAGCTTGAAGGCTACTCTAGTATGCACATCATTGTGTGCCTGCAATGGAGAGTATTCATTAGAATAACTAAAGTAAGGGTTTAAATATGGACGAAATCTTAAAAATGGGGGGGGGGAATGAACAACCAAAATCTTCTTTTTTGATAATTTAAATATTTTTCAGGGTAGAAATATTATAAATTGATGTTGAAAAATACTAATTAACCACATTTTATTGAAAAAAAGGAATGAAAAAAATTATCAAATGAATATTATATAATTGTCGGCAATTTTGGCGGCCATCTTGGATTTTCACCAAGAAGGAGGGAGAACCGCGCTTGGCAATGCGGATCAAAATTTTTAGAATGTCCATATTAGTCTATGTGCCAAAAATCTAAGAATATATATGATCACGAACTATCGAGCCATTATTGACTGGGCTAAAAACGATTTTGTGCTACGCCCACTTATATTTTGGTGGAAATGAGTGTGCAGCTTTCTTGAAACTAATTGATCTGCAAGCAGTTAAGTATAATGTTGCTTTTTTATTTCATATGCTGTTTTTAAAAGGATTATTTTACAGTAAATATTTTGAATTATGTTCTAGGGGGTATTGTGCCCGTAGGATTAGGCGACTTAGAAAGTCACTTAACTTCCCTCAGGGTAATAAACACAGAAATGTCCCAAAGAAGATCACCCTCGAGCACCTCACTGATGCACGGTATGTTCACTACAATTGCTTTCTCTTAGTCATACTTTAAGGCTTTGAACAATATTAAGGGTTTGAAAATCAAATTATATTTTATTTTATTTTTTCACATTTTATATTTACTTAGACTCAACAATGACGCATTTCGGTTTGTTTGGAGAACAGTCTCCAGGGCTAATAATTTTTTTATGAAAAATATAGAAATATCACCATAATTAAATTATGAGTAATTCAAAAGAAGACAATTTAAATTTACAAGATGTAGAAATATCATAATTGTCCGAAGCAGCTTAACATGCAGAAGACAGATTCAACAAAAAAGTCTCGATTTGGAGAAAGAAGTTCATCAGTGTACTGATACAAATTAAATCATGACTATTCCAAACATTCAAATCTATGATATGTAAAAAAATCAAATTTGTCAAAATAGGGCGTTCAATTACAGTGATAAACCTTGTTCTCCAAACCAAGAGTAGTCCTTTAAATAAATCATTTGAAAATTTATAAAAAGCTGCATCTGATGAATTTTTCTTTATGTTTTATAGTTTATTCCATTTCTGACCACTTTTAGATTCCTTTACTTGCCCCTAGTGGAGGCTGAGAGGGCTTGGAGTCAAGCAATGCAGCTTAAATCAGAGGCCAACACAGAACCACGTAAAAAATTCCATATGTCAAGTCGATTGAAGAAGGCTGTGCAGCATTCCCAGGAATTCGTCAAGTTGACGTCAAGTGATAAATGTGACGCAAGGACAAAGCTTGAAGCCCAGGCGTATGATAGCTGGATTAATGGTACTCTGAAGTTTGAGTTGGGAAAGTGGAAACAAGCCATAGAAGATTTCACAAATGCAAAGTGAGAATGCCGGTTTACTTTTAACAATGTGTCTCATATCAAATGTAGATTCATTTTTTGAGAAGTTCAGTGAAATTTTATATACCATGATCACTGTGATATTAGCCCTTTGTGTTTAGCAAATTAGGCCATAAGAAGTAGATTCTTTGTTTTGCGTCCTGGCAAAATCCAAATTATGCAAGGGTACAAGGAAAACAAACACAAACTCAAGAAAAAACACAAACTTGTTTACTGAGAAATGTATACATTTTATGGGCATACAAAGCATACAATTTGCAGTGCACATATCTACACATTTTATACAATATATTTTAAACATACCTATTATTCAAGTGCAAAAAATACACAATGTATGCCAAAGTAATCAGTAACACTGTCAATCGTGATGCACGTCAAATTATCCACCATTTCGTCAAAATCTGATTGAACGAAATGCTGTGGTACTTTCAGACCCTTGTGATTGTTATTTGGATGTATTTGTTTTTTCTGAATTACTCAAAATCGTCCAAGCAAGGAGACGCAAAACAAAGAATCTACTTCTTATGGCCTTAATAAAAATGATATCCAGGTTTTTGCAATATACCCCTTATACATCTATGTACACATCTCGTACACTTCCCTCCCAGGATTTTATGAATTTGTATAGTGTTTCATCTCTTCTCCTTGATAAACCCTATTTGCAATCCCTCCCTTGGTATAACCTCTATGTAATTGATTCATTTGAATGTGGCAGTTCTTATAATCTGCAATCAAAAATTCTCCATTTATGCATTTTTCTCTCTGCTTTGTTTATACATTGAACAAATAAAGTTTACAGAAATACATTTGTGAGATACCTCCTTATACCATTGTTGATAAAACAACCATTGATTAAATGTTTTTCAGGACAATCTATGAGAAGCTTGCAAGTGCTCTCTCTGAAGATGTCCGTATATTGTACACTCAGAGAGTTGAGGAAATATCACCCAATATACGATACTGCGCCTATAACATCGGAGACGAGACGGCCATGAATGACCTTGTACAGATGAGATTGAAGTCTGGGGGTATGGGAGAAGCCATGGCTTCAAAGCTGGATGTAAGTTTGACATAAAATATTCATGTTTTCAAAATTCCATGCAATGAATTCTGGCTTCAGTTTCAATGTGCAAACATAACAAGAATATATCCTAGAAAATATTACACATGTAAGACAAATTGATCTAAATATTCTACTTGAGATTGAAAGTAATGCAACGTATTATCATAACCCGATTAAATGAAGTAACATCTTCATAAGTTAATTTAACAGATAATGCAGTCATTATTTGAAAGTCATATGGGTGTTACTTTTTGTGCTGCAAATAGATAAATATCGAGAAATACGTAAACAGCTTTATTTATGAAGATTGCTGGCTAAGTTGTACAATACCTGAAAATTCCCTAATGCTATCATCAGTTGATGTTCTTTGACGTTTCGTTTTGCAGGAATTGATCGCACAGACTAGAGAGAAACAGGCAGCGTCTTTCTCGGAGCTTCAGTGGCGAGGTCGGACTGTACCTGTGGGTAATGAACAAGTCCGAGCATTCTTGTTAAACCTCCAAGAGAGTGAGAAAGAACTACAAGAAACTGAGGTATGTACAAGTTCAGTTAAATGTGTATTGAAGGGCCCACACATCAAAATAGACAATTGCTCATATCAGGCATATCAGGCACTTAGAAAAGCAGTTTATATTTCAGTTATTTACTCATATACCATACTTTTGAAATATTACAATGGGAATGAAAATTGGCATTCTCTCAATAATAAATTATGTTTTTCTTCAGGATACTGAGAGTAAAGTGTCGATATATGAAAGCTTATTGAAGGAGTGCATTGAGGCATTGCAGGTCATGAGAGATGAATTGAAGGGTGACCCGGTAAGTTAGATATTGCATCTAAATGTTGATATTTTTGGAAAAGCCAAACTTATAATGGTTTAACCCATAATGTTTACAATTGTCATTGTTCTTTTATATCATAGTACTCTTGTTATCCCATCGAACGAAGTTCGGAGGGATAATTAGGGAACACCTCCGTCCGTCCGTCCAGGCAATAACTCAAATATCGTTGACCCAATTTTGTTCATATTTTGTACACATATACCCTATGGAGTTAGAAGGTGATTTCCAAAATGGCCGCTCATTTAAAAATGGCAGCCATTTTAGAGCCCATTTTGCAGTAATTTAGGTGCAATATGTAAAACTGTAATAGCAATATTTTTTGAATTATATTATTATGTTTTAAATTATATAGGACATTAATAAAGCTAGAAATGTAGATGTTAAAGAAGCACATGGCGGCCATCTTTAAATATGGTGGCCTTTACTCATTATTTTACGATTTTTGCTGTAACTCGAAAAGTAGTGGAGTGATTTTGTTCATATTTGGTATGTGAATACTATAAGCATGGCACACTGTCTAATGACACTTTTGGTAGAAGGTGGCCATTTTGAAAAATGGCCACAATTTTAACGTATTTTACTTTAACTCAAAAAGTAGTGGAGCGATTTTGTTCATATTTGGTATGTGAATACTATAAGCATGGCACACCGTCTAATGACACTTTTGGTAGAAGGTGGCCATTTTGAAAAATGGCCACCATTTTAGTATGTATTTTACTATAAGGTATGAGGTTCCATATCCATCCGCCAAAAGGTATGACCCCTATATAGTCCATTTAAAAGCTCGTGGTATTGTTCTAAATAACGCCATAGTTGGCTTCTAGGGTACCTAGTATGCCACTATTTGGTATCAAAATAAAGAGGAGGAGTTCAACTTTCATTTGAATTACGAAAATAGCGATGTAGGTCAAAAATAGTTCCGACGTGAGCATGCTTACTACGCGTTTGCCCATCATATCAGAATTGAGGAAGTGGTAGCAAACGCGAGTCACAATAAATGGACGCTGATATCTCAAAAAGTAACCTGACTCCCTATAATTTGATGTAGATCAATCGAACCCCTATATGAACAGGTACATTTTGATATATAACACTATGGGGGGTAAGCGTTTTATAGTTGGTCACGAACGCCATATGTGCAAAGTATTGTTATGAATTTTCGAATTTGGTGTTGGATTACGGTACTCATACCATAACTCGAAAAGTAGTGGAGGGATTTTGTTCATATTTGGTATGTGAATACTATAAGCATGGCACACTGTCTAATGACACTTTTGGTAGAAGGTGGCCATTTTGGAAAATGGTTGCCATTTTTGCTATATACTTTGTAAAAATGCCAGCCATGGCTGTTTGATGGGGTTTGCTACACTTTGGCGTTGCTGTTGTCTAGTTACAATTGTACTCATCATGGAGTCCTTGTACTCTTCCATAGTATTGTTCTCTACATATTTCCATTGTATTGGTTTCAGCATTTCAAGGCAGCTCAGCGTGGACAGACACTTGAGGGTAAAGTGTCTAATGGCCAATATCTTCATACACATATCACCTACAGCAAGCTGACAAAAACCATAGGTAAGACAGTGCCCCTGCATCAGGGATCATATGCTGACTTGAATTGTCTGCTGTTGCTGCTTTCATTGTTGACTTGTAGTATATGTACTAGATCGTATGGATGCAGTTCTTCCATGAAATTTTTAAAATTGTCAAATCGTAAGGATTAATAGAAGGATTGAGTAAAATTGTAAGATGTAAGAATTGAAGAATCATAGGCGCCATTTTTGTTATGATCAAAACTCAACAATATATTCTGAGAAAACCTGGTCTTATTTAAGATTAACAATAAGCTATGACCAATCATAAGCTACATTATTTCCAAAAATGAATTAAAAATGTAGCATAATTCCTGGTATACATTCTCCCCTCTACTTCTCATGATTGTGGCCGGCCTCTGGAATTTGACTGTTGAATGCAATCTTATATTCATATCATTCCTCTATAAGGAATATCTAGATAAATTTATTATTAAGTATTTTCTCATCTCTTCAGAGCGTAACTTGATTATGATAGAAACCATGAAAGAAAAGCTAAAGCGTGGAGAGGACGGAGAAGATGGACGCAAGGCACGTCCCCAGGATCTTGCTCGTCTCTATGACATCATTATCCAGGTAACAACAGACATTTTTCATCTTAAAATCATTATCTCATTTTAGTGTTCTTGTAAGATTCGGTTAAGAATGTTCATTTTTGTATTTGATGCTCTTTACTTGCTATTTGAGTATTTTCAGAGTTTTTTTTAGCATTCTTTGAAATTTGAAAAAAAATTTAAATTTAAATTAAACCTCTTTTCCCACAGAAGCACCTCACTTTGCTAGTAAAATTACCCATATTTGATTTCTGGCCATTTTGTGCAGTTCTGTAGCATAGTGGGTGTTGTCCCTATTTGCTCTAATGTTGGGAAGATTAAACAGTGATTGAACATAATATTTCAGAGTGCTAGTGAAATCCCACAGCTCCCAGGTCTGGAAGAGGATGATGCTTTGAGCCAGGAGATCTCTGGACAGATCCAGGGATATAGGGCTTTCAGGTATATTATTTAGAAACTATTGTTCACTCTACAATTAGTAAATAGACATACTGATGGTATAGAGGCTTCATGTAATGTACTCCTTGTACACTCTTGTTCATCTCTTTTGAATCTATGTACATATAAGGATAATGAACTATATTCATCATTATGTCCCCTTTGCACCTCTGAATGAACAGAGTTTATTATGTAACAGATATTTCACTGATGTCACATATGTTCTACTACCTTGTATGTCACAGATATTTCACTGATGTTACATCATGTATTTTGATATTTTGTACATTACAGATGTTTCTTCATAGCTCAGACATACGCAACTGCTAAGAAATGGAAAGAGACAATAGCGCTATATGAAAAAGTGCTACTTTATGCTGACAAAGCTATAGCAGAATTAAAATCTCTACCAGCTAGTACAGAAAACAAAGTAAGTTTAACTGACTTTTCTTTTGTCTGCAGATGAGTATACTCTTTTTATTTGTGAAATATACATTATACTGCATGTTATATCAACAAAGATTAGAGCACTTTTGATCTTATTTAATGATCATCTTGTTACGGTATTTATGACATTGAGATATTAATAAACTATCATACTTTTTAGTTTCAATATGTGTCATTTTGAATGCAAAATTATTATTGAGAATATAAAATAACACAACTATACTCAGTCTATTGCAAACATTGTTCTGAAAGAAATCATCCTCCTAAGCAGGTGTCCAGAATCTGTACCTCCTTCCCCCTGCTATAACCAATTTGGACGCGTCCGATTTAACTGAATCACGAATTATGCGCAATGACTTATACAGTGTTGCGACAGCCAATCAGATTGCGAGTTCTTAATTGGGGAAATGGTAACTGCTTATCGCAGGGGGTAAAAAGAAAGAATATGTTCTGGATTTTGAAACCCTGTGATCGGAGGATGAAAGAAATAGCCACATGCTAAGATTGAGGCTAACATATCATTCTTTTTTTCATTTTAAAGATGTCACTTTTGTTATGTTTGTTAAGTTTTCATATATTTTTTATTGTTAAGTGTTTATGTTTCACTATCAAGAAAAAGTAACCTAAAAACTTATCCATGTGACAGATGTTTGCATGTGTAACATGGTTTCACTCACACCATGTGAATGGAACCAGGTTTCACTCACATCATGTGAATGCAACCAGGTTTCACTCACATCATGTGAATGCAACCAGGTTTCACTCACATCATGTGAATGCAACCAGGTTGTGACATGTTTTGATCATAACTTGTATTTATCATGTTTCCTATGTACTTTCTTATTGCAGGTTATGAAAACTAAGCTAGAAGAATTGAAAAAGGAAGTGGATGGTTTGAAATATTCCTCTCATGCCTCTAGTATTCTTGAAGTGGAAGATGTTACCACCAAAGTAGGAGCTGTTTCACTGAATAATAAGGTAAGTGGAATCTCATGGATGTCATATGATCAAATTCAAGACCTTGAGCCCCAGTCACATTTGCTCTATGGTGACATTGGCTTCACAAAATCGATATAAAATATCTACTGCTTATGCCTAAATGCTATGTGACTGAGGCATTATTCAAACAATTAACACTTAACCACATTAACCAAAAATAAATTGTTTCAAAATAGCAAACCATTACTTAGGTCATTGTTGAAAACAATTAGAGAATGTTGATTCCCTTGTGTCATAACATCATATTACTGTAATTACACATTCAAATTGTTTTTTTGAATATTTGGACTTACTGAGTAAAAAATTATGCATTTCATCTTTTTTCTTCAGCCATTAATCGATCGTCTGGAAGAATACGTAGATGACGCTAAAGTGAATAGTAAAAAGGCTAACCTGGCCAACTTCCCACCAGATTTCCAACCAGTTCAGTGTAAGCCCTTGTTCTTTGATCTGGCGCTTAACCACGTGGATCTACCAAGTCTGGAGTCTAAAGTGGAGACCAACCAGAAGGGAAAGCCAAGTGGTATTACTGGACTTGTTAAAGGATGGTTATGGGGAGGCAAAAAATAACCTCAATTACCTCATAGGTTCTTTTTCATTTAATCTTAGGCCACCATATAGGATGATTATCTGTTAAATGACGTTTTTGTCAAAATCTCAATCTGAACAATTTTTACTGTTATATGGAATCTTTTGTCAAAATCTGATGAAGATCCTACAAAAGTTTAGGAAAATGGGTTTGACTGTACTCATCGTGGAAGGAACGGTGATGACCAGCTAGACAACTCTAAATAAATAAGCATTTAATTCATAATGGCCTAAAATCTGTATGTGTTAAGTGGGGGGGGGGGTAAATGAATCCCACATGTATAAATATCTGGATACAGTCTGGATTTTTTTTTCTTGTATTGTGGAAGGAGTAATTTCATTTTAAAGAGCGTATGAGTGTCAGATCAACGTAAGTGAAAATGCAAACATTTAGATTAAAATCAAACTGTCACCCACTGTCATTTCAGTTAAGTTGACATTCAGCTGTCTGTAAGAAAAGAAATGGTAAAAAATTCAAAAAAGTTAAAACTATTGTTTAACTATTGATTAAAATATGTTTCCCATACTTAACACTAAGGGTATCAATACCCAATGCGCGTATGTTGTTGTAAGTCTCGTCACATTTGGTCTATAGCGGTCCTAGATTCACAAAATCGTGTTGAAAATCTACATCGTACTGCTTTTCCCTATATTCTATGCAGCATTTATCTTTCGATCTTGGGAATCTACGGCCGCCGTACGGTTGCGGTATATCAAATGTGATTGGGACTTAAAGTTTATATTTTATAGTGTATAATGTCTACACACTCATGCTATCACAGCAGCATGACGTTCTGAATGAATGTATTTCATGAATGAAGAAATAATTGAAACTTTAGTTATAATAAGACTGGCAATATTGTGATATGTCCTGAAATTGAAAGGATTACCAATGACAGCAAATATAAATGTGAATATGGAAAAATTCTTAATCATACTATTTGATAAATGTTTCATAATATCTTGCATGATTTAACTATTTACTATTTTGAAGAAATAGTTGCATTGACAAATGGTGTAATTTTTATCATTACATTTCATTGTGATTCCATCTCTTGAGCTTTTAAAATGTATTCATTATTATTTCATTTTATTGTATCATGGTGTAAGATTACATTGCAATAATAAATATGTATATCTATGTATCAAAATAGTATTTGTGTTCGTTCACATAATTATATGTGGCAGTTAACATGATTATTTGTGTTCGGTTTACATGATTAGCTGTGTCCGCATGAATGCCATCTTCAGGATTTGAAAGCTTCTTATTACAAGCACATCCCCCCCCCCCTTTACTTCCGTGTAATCGTTACTTCAGTCTCACATTGACCACTACACTGTGATCTAACTCTTATGACAAATATCATGGAACAAAATTTCAAATTGCTTTTCCTGGAATTATTAATAACGAAAACAATGTGCTCTTGTAAGTGCACTTGCACCTGTGTACTGTTTTCTATATTTCACTTGAATAATTTTAAAAATTCATCTCCAATGAAAGTGGTTCTTACTAGAAAATTCATGCCGATCGTGCTAAGTTGTGTGCGAACAGATTCGACGGAACTTGAAACTTTTTTCGAGCGTGTCCAAAATTTTCTGGGCTCCGTCCACTTGCAAGTCTGTGAGTAAATCGTATGGCAAATTCGATCCTTAATAGTGATCAACGTATTGGGAATGAGCTTGAGGTCGCACAATTCAAGAACGGATTTGAAGTAGCGATGGACGGACGGAACGCATAAAGTGATGACTGTACGAACCAGCTGTAGAAAAGCTGTAACCACACCATATAAGTTTCCATTACGTTCCTGAAACGTTATACAATACCAATACGTTTAAAACAATTTTTGAACAATTCAGTCCGATTTACGCTTTTTAGAACAGGATAATGCGTTTTAGAACGAGTTTGGTGTGTATGTTACAAGGAAAGATATAATTCTAGGTCAGTTTAAAGGTAGTGGAATTTATAACAATTACCCACGATTGATCTGGTAGTAGATGAAAATTCATGGCTTAAAGTCTTCAGGAATTTCAGGTAATTTCAGGAAAAAATGAGCCAAAATCTGACCCCATTGATTTCAATACAAATCTGGATATATTTCTATGGGGGAGTAGGGGGTCAAGCAAGGGTTTCATATTTGTCTACTTTTTCCTGTGAAAATACTCCTCTTGAAAGTATATGTAATGGGTCTACATTAATCTTAAAAAGCACTCAATCATTCAAAATTCCTTAGAGGGAGGACCTGCCCAAACCCACCGATATCTTGGCCCGCGTGTTTCGCCATTTAATTTTCAGGAAATTTGATGCTATAAGCCATGTGAAATGTGGAGGTGGGTTGAATCTGACTGAAATCAAGTACGTATTGTGACGCATGTATATATTGGTTCATGGACTCGACCGCGAACACGATAGGTTATCATGGTAATTCTATAACCATTGAATCGACTAATTATCCCCTATCGTCTAGTCACTCCATATTGATAACAATAATAGCTCATTTGTTGTGTTCATGAATATGACATGATTAATTAGTGTAAGGTAATCAACGCTATTGTAATGTGACATGTTCTAGGCATGTACGTCATGGTACTGATATGTGTCATCGTGATATATTACATGACTACCCTTTAGTTACGATCATGAACCTTACACCCCTTTCAAGGCTTTGTAAACCGAGTCTCTTTTGAATCATCTGTGGAAGGCAGTTTGTGTTAGGTGATATTAGACATTTTCTTAATTCATATATTGTAACTCTTACCATGGACCTCTATCCATATGGAGTGTCTTACGATGCTTTTTATCAAAAAACCAAAAGTCTTTTGGACCAATTTTATCAGTTATTTTATAGATACAAACATTGGTACCTCTTCTGCGCCTGCGTAAAAAAAATTTTGGGCCCCTAAAACCCATAAGTGGACCCAAATTTTGAAATTTGAGGCCCATTTTCTTCAAAATTTGGCCTGAAATTAAAAAATAGGGCCCAGTAATGACCCAAATTATCGGCCAATTTTTTTTCTGGGGCTACCCAGAAGAGCCCATCCCCAATTCCGTTGTGATTGACGATATCAAAGTCGCTATATTGTGGCGATTCACGACCCAATTTGATCGAAAATGGGATTTTATATGATACATTATCACAAAAACCTAATGCATGCACAGAATTAGCGACGATAAAATCCCATGAAATGAGGACAAAGTGATTAAACAGTTGAAACGACGGTTATGTCCGCCATTTGTGACAACGGTATCTGACTTTACCGTACTGGTAGTCAGGCTTTTCCGGTGTGACTGTGCACGATGCAAAATGCTATTAAACGAATCTAAATACTTCGTAACGAAGCTGCGTATAAATAAGTGCCAATAGAGAGGTTTCGCAAAACGAATTAGCTAAAACGTATCCGCATCCGTATCTCGTTACGTTTACGGATACGTATTTCGATAATTTTCGTTTCGCAGTTCGTTTTTTGAAGTACGTAATTATAAACGCATCTCAATCCGTATTTAATAGTAGTGAAAACTAGGGTCAAATAAAAGGCTTCATCTGCACTAAGATTTCAAAACACCATTGGGAGTGTCAGCTTTCAGAATCACAACTCCAAAAGTATTTTTGGTGAGTGCAAAAATACATATTAGCCCTTTCATCCCCAAGGTGTCATTTGTTAATTTCATGACATCAATTTCAAAATGAAGAATATCCTTTAGGCCAGAAAAGGTTATTTCTAGGTTTACAATAACCAATTCAGTGTCAAATTATACTTTTGGGAATATTTAAGGGTTTGAAAACAGAATAGCTGAATAGTGGTCATTTAACCTATTACAACCAAACACAACAACAGTACAATAGAACATAACCCAGTGTCCAAATACACAGAACGCAATAGAGCATAACCCAGCAACAAAGCCAGTATAGCGCAACCTGACTTAACCACCAAAACACAACCAACTGTCAGATTAACACAATATGTCACAACCCAATAATAAGACAACAAAGACAAACACAACCAATTGTTGAATTAACTCAACACAATTGTGCACAATTCAACACTAAACAATAAAAACACAATCAGGCACGACCAATAAAACACAACTAAACTAACAACCATGAAAACACATCGAACTGTGAAATTATCACCACACAATTTGGCACAACCCAAGGTAAATCAACAAAAGCAAAGACAGCCCATTGTTCAAGAACAGAACACAATTTTTCAAAACCCAAAACAAAACAATCAAAACAAAATCAGGCACAAACAAAAAACTCTTTAAAATTGTAATACCGAGATACACAACTAACTTAACCAAATTGGAGAGAACGCCAATCACAAAACGCAATCAGACACAACAATATACCTCAACCGACTAGCCACAACCAGCTAGCCAACCAACATAACATATTCACAAGAGAAAACAACCCATAATAAGATTAACATAACACAATGGGACACAACCCGATACTAAATCACCAGACTAACAACCATCAAAAGAGAACCGAGTCTCAAACGTACACAACACAATTCGGCAAAACCTATACCTACATGACACTAACCCACCATTACACAACCTGGCTTAAACAAATACTCAATCGATTTACTCAACCCATCAAAACACAATCAGGCACAACAAATAAACAACAACGAAACGTTGATACCGATTTACTCAACTAGGTTATTCCAACTGGAGACAATCGCACAAAACAATCAGGGACAATCCGATATCTACTGAATATGTACTTGAATAACAACCCCCCCCCCCCTTCCCTATCATCACAAGGCTGCTAATGAAGAACACATCATGGACCACTACCCAAGAGTTAGGAACATCTGGGGCCCCTACCGTGACTCATATGTAAGAGAGAAGATCCGTTACAGGATCTGGATGTCAGGCCTGTCTTTACAAAAATGAAAATAGGAAATGATACGCCAATATCATCATCCTAGGATCAAAGAAATATACTCTACCTGTTACATAATCACTGACGGTGGTTCCGGGAAGCTTGGGCACTAAGCTTTAGTCTCCTTGGACCCCCAAACGAGGCCGCTTACTATTTGACATAGATCGCATCGACTTGATGCGTGTTCAAGTCATACCACGGGAAGAAGCTACCTGGCTAGACATTTTTTCAAAATCATTCAGTTTTGCATCATACTGAGCACTTTTCGGGAGTTTTAAGCCAAAAAGCTCCCCCTTGCCACAAGCTGGATACGGGCAAGAGTGATGCGGGGCGCCATCTTTAGACCCAATATCACATTCATTGTCGAGGTCAGGACCAAGCTACTATATTCAAACTAAGCCCAAGTCCCTGCTCTATATGAATTCGGAGCGTGACTTTAGGCACAAAATATATGTTCAGGTGGCCTAGCTGCTAACCATGGCCATTGGTTTGATGTCCCTAAGAAATTGACTACGGTATTACTATTGACCCCAGAAACGATAGACCTTACATCTGCCTATAAGCAAATGTGACTAAAGCTTTATTCGTACATATTGCAGTACAGGCCCCTCGCTTATAATCAAATTTATCGGCAGATAAGGCTATTACTTCATCAAAATTAGCAAGATACACATGATAACATATGTGGGTTACTAAAATTATACATTAAGGGAAAAATTTATCAAGATTTGAAGGACAAAATAGATACGGAGACAACTACGCACAGAAAGTGTTAATTTACGTACTTTCGGTATTGCTGTTGGTATCACAAACGTATTGAGTACACTTTTACTCCATCGATGCGTTACGGATTTTAATACGGATAGCTAAAACGTTGTGCGAAACATGCACACTGTAATTATTGCAATACCATTCCATACAGTGTAAAATGAATTGAACATACCATTTGAAAAACTCGATTTATTTCAAACAATAAACAAATTCATTCACCAAATTTTAGTCAAATTATACACAGCACACTGTGCTTGTTCATATAGTGATACCTTTAGAACTAAAAACAATATAATCGAAGGGTAAAATCGGATACGTAAATGACCAACGTACAAAAGCCTCATTTTTCGTGTTTTCCGTACCATTTTACGTATAAATTGAACTGACAACGCATAAATCTGGTAAATACGTTACGGATACGGATACGTGGAGCTAAAAAGCGTTTTGCGAAACCTCTCTATTATAGGTTTGTCACGCTATCCGATTGAGACTTCTTGTTGCCTAACTTTAAGAAGGGACCCGCATCAGTGCCATCATGTCGTAACCTAGTAACCTATTGTCATTTCTGGGTGTAGGCATTCCCTAGTGTCTTGGACTTGGCGAGGCTGTACGATAAAATGATATATTGCCACTATTTTCGCTGTTTCAGTTGGAATCTGAAAATTACTTTAGTAAAATATTGATGGAACAGTGTCCTTGACCTTCATCATACATATCTCCGTCCATGTATTCAATAAGTTTTAGTCTTGTTTGAAAAGAAATGCAAAGATTTCCTTTTCAACCGTTTTGATATTCGCATTTATTAATTGTCCAGACTTCTATACCCTGGCAGTATCAGTGTATGGGGAGTAACGAACTAGCGGCCACAGTAGTAAGATTTAATGCAAAAATGTGTAAAAGCCAATAACTTCATTATTTGATAAGATCTTTTTTGAATAGTACTTATTTTGAATAGTACAATAACGTCATTTCGAAGGGCAATATAGTGAAATATTGGACCGACGGCCGAAGGTCCAATATTTCACTATATTGCCCGCAGAAATGACGTTAAAAGTATTATTACCACCGTTAACGACCAGGACTGAAACAGCAAGAAAATCTTACGCACTGAACGATATTTAATTTCCCGGGGAAAATTGCCGGTCGTTAAATGCATTTTCGACCGGTCTGAAATGCTATATTGACCGCCACTATGACGTCACATATTGCTCAGGTCGATATAGTAAAATGAATGCCTTCTAAACTAGCACTAAAACCCCTAGAACTGGCCCGGCAAGGTGGTAATAATAGTAGGGCTCTGGATCTCTGACTTTAGCATTCACGAAACTCATTCTGAACACTTGATGGGTTAGATGTCTAAGAAATAGAGACATTCTGAAATGCTTTCAGCATCTTGCTACTTTATAATTTAATTATAAAACGTATAATGGTCTCTTAGCTCAAAATTAGATTCATCCAACTTAAAAGCTACATAAATAGTATAGATAAATACCAACTACACACAATACGGAATTAATTTCTTTAGATTAGAAATTTTTAAAGTATTTTCTTGTAGACCACTGTTATTAAAAATTAGAAACCCATTTTAGTTAGGAATGGTAGCCATGTTGTTGATGACATAATTTCTGCACGGTTCGTGTGATGTAATTTCTCAATGATGTCATTTGATATTGAATTACTCCAAGGTGAAATTCTATTCTTATGAATTGCTCCTAGGTGTCATTGCCAACTTACAATTGTATAGGTGTTGCCAAGGTATCTTAGTATCAGTGTTTATTTATACCAACTGTCAAAATGGATTCAAAGACAAGATCATGTATGAAACTGTTCACCACTACCACATTAAAGTACATTACTCGCAATAGAAAAATAAGTCGGGAATACAAAAAAATTAAAAAAGCATTTTTATCAGTTCTTATTGAACACCCTGTAAACTGGTAAATCCATGTAAGCAGTATAGTGAAACCTATACATTCGAACTCTCTAATCCAAACACCTCTCAATGTTGGCACTTTTTCTAGTCCCATCTTTTAGAAACCTAGAAATAAAACACCTGCTTAGTGCTAATCAATCCCAAAACTTTTGGCCGATCCTTCCCCAGTGGTGTTTCGATCAAACAGAGTTTACTGTACTGTTCATCAATGTGAAAAAAAGTATCAACTAGTCTACTTTAGTTACAATCATTTTATTAGAAATCATTATCAGCACGTATATTATGAACACACATTTTTTACATTATGATATTACACAAAATTAGTAGGGCACCTCCTTGCATTTACGTTTTCATAAGTATTGAATTTAACACTTATTTTACTTTTGATGCTACTTGTCTTTGTCGTTGTTGAAGTCGTGTTTCTGTTAATGTTACAGTATCCATTTTGCGTGCACTGATCCAATTCACGATTTGTGCTTGAGTAATTTAAATTCGCCGTGTCCGATTTGAAACATTTTAGCAACAAGACCTTGAATCCTCGCCTGTATCGTTTAGAAAAGAGGCAGTATATAAGGGGGTTTACGCAGCTGTTTGACGAACCTAGCCATTGGACAATGGGGTAAATAATGGTATTGACTATTTTTTGGATCTCTTTTGTATTTTTCTTGCCGTAATATTTACTAACGGTTATTGTATACAGCGGGAGCCAGCTGAACGTGAAAACCACGACAACAACCATTAACATCTTAACGACCTTGATTTTAGATTTATATATGACCCCACTAGTATTGGATACGCCAGGGGCTTTACGTGTCCACACCCGGAATCCTATCATCGAATAACATACGGTTATGAGTATTAACGGGATAGAGTAACACGTCACGAAGATTGCTCCGACAAAGTATGCTCCCTCGAGATTTGGCGGGAAAGTCGGCCATTTTTGGTAACATATCGGTATTGACTGTTTAGGAGTTCTATAGATCTCTTGTTCGTAGAATACTGCCCATGGGGCCATGATACATACTGCCCACGTCCAGATACAAAGGATCATTAAACGGGCTTTACGCCTTGTGATTGTATACTCCATCGTAAAGCAAATAGCCAGGTACCTGAAAGCATAAAAAATTACAGATTTTAAAAAGATTTGTCAATCTAAAATTATAATTTCATGTCATGAAAAATTAAAACCCCATTTTACATTAAATCTAGCGGTGGGTTTAATCTTAAAAACTAGTCAAGTAATAATTGGACATTTAAGATTTTAAGCAATCTCTGAAATTTGAATAACAGAAAGGTCAAATCTGAATTTTAAGGTCAGATAGAACTAAATTGGCGTTTTGTTAAAAACGTACCGACGTTTGACAATTTAGCCATATTTAAAATTTTTATTTCTCAAAATTGGTGTTAACATTTTGAACAATTAAATTTTTGATTTTTTTTATTAATCATCACAAATATTCCAGAAATACAAATTAAACAATTGCCAAAGTCGAAAGACATTCACGGCAAATTTAGATGGAATTCTGTAGGAATTCACAACTTTTACATAATGAGTTGTTTTCATGTCATTTTACCGTTAAAAGACAAGAAGAGTCAATACAATTCTCAAAATTGGAGTTCACATTTTGAATAATTAAATTTTTAATTTCAGTCAATTACAACTATTGAACCAAAGTACAAAACATTTTGCAACCTCTTTGGATCGAATCCAAATGGACGGTTTGAAAATCAACTTTTTGATATTTCGAAGGGCATAGAGCACGTAAAATGATTACATGATAGGGTTTACAATACCAATGGGGCCTTCTTTACCATCTTCATAACGCAATTGCTATGTGAAGGGCTTCGAACGACATGGAGGGGTTGCACTGGCGGATCTGGGGAGGGGGGCTCCCCCCAGAAAGAAAGTTGCCAAAAAAGGCCTTAGGGCCCCAAAAAGTGGGCCTTTTTGGTCATAACTGGGCCTTTTAAGACCTTATTTTTTAATTCTAGGCCAAACTTTGAAGAAAATGGGCCTCAAAATTTAAGGGGCCCAACATTATTTTTGCTCTGACCTGAAATTTCTGGGTTACGAAACATTTGGAGGTATGTAGTCTAAGAACTAATTTCTAGTACCCCTCCAGCCACTGAGATAGGAGAAGGTGTTGCTTTATGGAAAAACAGTGGCAAGAGACCTTTACAAAATCAAAAGTATCTCGAGACCTTTAACTGTTTAAGGTTCATCTCAACCTTAATTGCCACAGATTGAGGTAATCCAATGAATGTAGATTGTATTGATACTTTCCAGAGCCTGCGGTTAAATTATTGAAATTGAATAACGAAAATATACCCATGGGCATTTTATTATTGTAAAATACATTAAACCACCATCATCGTAACTAATGGCGAAATATAAAAGTTCGTGACAACCACTTAGTCTGTTTCAAACAGTTCGGCAAAGTTCATGCCAACCACTTATTCAAGTTCCGAAATACCTCGGCTGGTCGTGGGGATTCTGATTCAAAGCACGTGGCTTTTCAACACAATCTTGGATACTATAATTAAGGTTATATAACTTCAACGTAATACAACAATCAGTATTGATTGACATGCAGAGATGCGGTTAGTCAGCTTTCTGCCAGCTTGGCAAATATTGCCTAATGGAATGAACATCCTCCCCGCTTAAAGGTCGCATGTACAGTTTGAAAATATGTTTTTATCATTCATTTTTATTTACTATTTGTCATGACTTTAAAAGATATTTTAGAGATTATTGTAAAAAAAGATTTTTGAAAAAATTGATAGCGTTTTATTTCTTAAATATTCAAATTTCGCAACCAAAGTGACATCATCGTGATATTACTCAGGTGGCATAAAAGTTTCGATGACATTGGGTAAGGACTACGATATAAGCCAAAGTGGTTTAAATTTTATATGGGGACTTTAAATACTCAGTGTAGTATATTGAGAGAAAATCGGTTCCTTTCACTGTCATAGAGTCACAGGTTCTGTTTTCTGTTATGTTCATACTTGAACAGAAAAAAAACAAATCAATCAAATGACAAATATCAAATAAATTGGCTATTAAGTTATGCAGTATAGAACGATAGAAGTTAAAAATGTTATCAAAGAACAAAACTGGAAATGTAATTTTCTAAAAACAATTGGTGGTAATAGGAACCCCATTGATCTAATGTTTCGAGGTTGCCATATTGTGATGTATTGCGCGTAGAAGGTTCAAGTTACATTTAGCTTAACATTCACCAATCTTTGCCCAGCTTTTAGCAAATAAGCTATTGTCTACTATGGAGTTTTAAAACATGATCGGCTACACTCCACTCCAAAAATTTGGCAACAACTCCTTTATTGTACCACGTATCGAGACCCGCACGTTCGGTGATTAAAAGAGAATTTCCGACCTAATACGGGAAAATTCAAATTTCAGATATAAACAGGCTATCCAAAGTGGGTGATAGTTACTTTTTAGCGACTATAGTTATATTCGAATAGCCCTACTCTACTTACTATGGATAACATTAGAATATTTATGGCTGCGGTAATTGACCCAAGCTGGACGAGGGTGCTATAACTCTCTTTGAATGACATATAATTTGGTTTCCCATTTTCTTCAATTGACCTGTCTCTTATCTGAGTTGTGATGTATACGATAAATATAATTCTTGTTCTTTATTAATAGGATAATTTGTCAATCTCTCTTGTAGCATCTTCAGGGCAATATGAACGACAAGGCACTTGGTTTGACCTAGTGGTCGTAAATTTGAACTCGTGTTCATTATCGAGTTCTCATAAACAACATTGTTTACTAATTCTATTTATATTAGTTATAAACAGTCACGGCCACGGCCAGGTACAGTATGCATCAATATAAACTAGGGTGATATTCCACTGGGACGTGGAACTTAACAGTTCCGATTTAATAAAAAAATATGTTGTCTTTCGTAGCTACAAATAAAATTCGTATATACAAAAAATCAGGAATGATTCAAAATTACTAATACACTGTGTAATAGCTAGGGAATTATTCTTAGGTAATAAATAATGACCGATGTGTAGGCTGCAATCAATCGACCAAAATTGCAATCTATACGTCTACCGATGTTGCATTATCTAAACAGACGCAATTTATTAGTTACACTCGCAATCCATACGTTAAACTATATTTAGACAATTTGTGAACTGCAGTCATATGTCTGATTTACTGCAATAGTGATATTAAAGTAATTGTCTGAAGTTCAGATGAAATAAATATCCTTTTGCTATCTCCTAGTTTTAGCCCTGATCTATTTAGGTTAATCCGGATACGTTTTTCACAAGAATGTGAATCTTCCGGATTATGCTCCTTGAAGAGATCATAGTAATTTACTCTGAACATATAAGGTAGGAAGACACATCTATAGTAAATGTGAATCTATATAGTGTATTGTTTTTGAACGCTGTATTCAGAACAGCGTATTCATTTCTTATGAACAATTCGCAATGCGGATACTCAGTCATTTCTTGATGGGTGTTCATTTCTCTAGAACAGTTGATAGGCTTGCTACCCTGCGCGCAGAGTCTAGTTAAACTACGAAGACGAAGCTTTCTTTTAAGAAGTGAAGTCAAACGAATGCAAAGGGTATAGGCTTGCTAGTTTTGAGACAAGTTGGGATCTTTGTTTGTTGTTTTTCAGAACGGTGGGGGTATGTTCATTTCTCTGGAATAATTTAGGGGCGTTCCCTTCGAGAAAAATTCAGGGATTTCTTACAAATGAAGGGGATACTTCAAAAAACTAAAAAAGCTGATTGTGAGATACGTGTCCTCCAATGTAATTTTTGGGTATTTATAATACAATGGTCTTATGAAGTCTTATATTTTTGCATAATCAGAATGATCCAGAATTTTCCACACATACCCTCTTTAAAAAAAAAGGTGCATTGTCCTTGACCAATCACATCTTTTTTATATTTCGTTATTACCAGACCAAACATTCAGAGGTATAATATATGTTCACTTTGGCCAAATGAAGAAAATTTCAAAGAATTTCGAAAATATGGTAAAAAGTTAGAAAGGATTGAATAGAACGACTCTCAAATCATGGTTGTGACTTTTTACCATCCTATACCCAGCAATGTGCTCAAGAAGGGGAAGTTAATCTGTTTTAAATTTTAAATCCAATCAAACTCTTAAAAATTCAGTTATGTAATGAAAGTCCAATTAATTACAACCACTTTGTGATAAAATTTGAGGGTAATATCCTTCAGATTCAGAGGTCTCTTCTCGGTTCAAAATTAAGGGTAGGGGTAACATAACTTACAATTAACTGGAAATTGTAAGATAATTATGACCCTTAATCTTTCTCAATGACCCATAAATATGTTATACATCCTATATTTAGCTTATGCATACCAAAATTTATCATTTGTCAGATGTGAAGTATTAATGTGTTTGAGCAAAATGGTTACATCCTATCCTTAGTTTCACTGCTATTTTAGGCGTAAAATTGTCTAAAAATCATGTTTTAGGCGGATACTGGCACTTCCATCATTTTCTGTCAGTGTGTCAATGTTTATTTCAAACCTGTCAGTTAATATAGAATATAACACATGGAGAATGATATCCAAGCCTTAGAGGAAATGTAATAGTAAATTGTAATTTATTACGTAATTTAATGGAAAAAGTCACACTAGTGAGTTTGTGAGACAATGTATTTAACCGTTGCTAACTTTTTAAAATTTTCATCGAATTTTTTCAAATTTCCACCGGTTATTCACAATATACGCCATGTGCCTCCAAGAGTCTATAGTACTATCATACAAAATTTTGAAAATGTTATGACTGATAAAGGACCATGCACCTTTTTTCTTTACAGAGGTACAGTTTAGGAGAGTGTCAATCTGATAATTTTTTCCTAAAAAGCTGAACAGTTTTCACTTGTCCATAACGTTTTGATTAGGAGTGTATCTACCGGGCGTTGAACTCAAATAGGTGTATGAGGTTACATCTATTTCATGGTCAAGAACAATTAAATGGCACTAGCTATCAATAAAATGTGTTTTGACAATCTGCTATTTTCTATCAGGTACATCAAGCTAATGTAAATCAACGATCATTATAAAGTATCAGGTAGTTT